TTCTTTTCCAGTTTACGATAATGTGGCAAAAAAGTTGGCCTCTGCTTATGAATAGATAAGTGATTCAGGTCATTTCTTCTTCTAGTCAAAGTAGGTAACTGGAAAAATGTCTCCGGATCAGTGCCAACAGATCTTCCCTCGCCACCTGTAAATCCGGCTTAATTTTTTCCTTCGCAGTCAACTGATCATAGGGACCTCTTTATGCACCATAGGTACGTGTTAAGTGGTGCCTCAGGAGTCAGCACACTATTATTGTGAGCAACCTTCTCATGAAAATTTCTCATGCCTTTGTGACCTTCACAAGCATTAAATGAATAGACCACTTCAACTTAATCACGGCGTGCTGCTGGGCACAGCCAACTTTTGGATTGATGGGTCAGGTAATAATCCAGTTCTTCATGGGCTTCTTATGTCATTGAGTGATTGGTCATTCAGGGTCCAGGACATACTTCTCAAAACAACAGTTATTTGCTGAAAGAACAGGAATTTTCTCCAAAATCCTAGGGACCTCCAACTGTGATTCTCTAATAGGCATTTACCACAGGCCCCATACAGCATTCTGCCCTCTGATAGAGATTTTAAGCACCATTGAGTCCATTCTGCCGTATAGACCCAGTGGCAGAACTGCTTATATAGTATTATCTGAAAAGCATTTTGTTTCTCTGGGCCCTACTTAGATCTGGCAGGCAGTAAGTGTTGTGCTTCTTTCTTACTAGCAGCAAATGCAAGGTGCAGCAACTTACTATTTACTTTGGAGGAGATATCACTGCTGGGCTCCTCAGGTCTTTATTGGAAGACCACTGTATTTTGATGAGATTTTTTTCATCCATGAGCATACATGTTTTTCTAAGGTATCAAGATAACATGCTATCCAATGTTCTCCATATCTTATCTGCATGATGCCATCAATGTAAAGAATCCCTGTGGAGTAAGGATATTATCAAACGCTACAGACTAAATTATGGCAAAGAGCTAGGAGGTCACGTAATGTTGAGGGAAGATAGTGAAGATGCAATACTCTCCCTTCCAGGTGAAAGCAAGTGCCCCTGGTGTTTTCTATTTATTGGGAATAGCAAAGCTTTTGTTAGATGAACTGCTGCATCCAAGGTGGCAGAGGCTGCTTTTATTTGTTTTAGTAAAGAGACTACAACTTAAACAGCAGCTAAAAATAAGGTCATGGCTTGGTTAAGCTTAAGAGAATTCATTATTACTCTTCGGAAACCATATTCCCTCTGCACTGACCAACCCGCATGAGAATATAGTTCCCTTAGGGAGAATGTGTTCATTATGAAATAGTTATTATACTAAATATGAATGTGCTCATCTCTATATCTTCAGAGTCTTTATGTGTCTATCACAGGGAAGGCCTAATGAATGAATGACTCAGTGAACAGGAGGAAGGTGATGAACAATTCAGTCTGAATGACTAGGAGCTTGACCATGTCCTAGACCAGTACTTTAAGATGATGCTTTCATGTTAACCTTCTTTTAAGAATTAAGATAAATAGATATCGGGTACTATAAAATTGGCTGGGCCCTAAAGAATATTTTAAATGTTATGATACTATTAATTACCTTATTGAGAGACCTTGACATTTGTGGGGAAATATTCTAGAACAGATCTCTCCAGGAGAAACATAATGTGCGTCCCATGTAAGTTGAATTTTCTGGTAGCTCTATTTAAGGGAATCTAAAAAAAAATAAAATTAATTTCAATAATATATTTTATTTCATCAACTATAAATATTATCATTTTAAATGTAATCAATATAAAATTATTGAGATATTTACATTCATTTTGTGTTCACACTCCCTTTAAAATCTGACGTGCATTTTGCAGTTGTGGAGGTCTCAGCTCAGATAAGCCACACACCATCGCTCAGTAGACATACGTGACTAGTGCCTACCTTATTTGGACAGAGCAGTTCTAGACTTCCCATGAACAGAGAAATTCCAAGAAAGGGAGTCAAACGTGAGAGGCCCCTTAGTGTAGTGTAAAAGGCCCCTTAGTTTGTTAGTGGGCACAGTAACTGTTGCTGCATATCTTTTTTGCCTTCATTTCCCCCTGCCATATTCCTCCAGCAGAGGCGAGTGAGATGTATGCTCGATAGAGCAGATAAAGAAAACGAAATACTCTCACTGAGGTCGCTTGGTTGAACCTGCCCTTGCAGTTTTCAGCTCAGAGGCTTGGTGTTCCAGCTCAAACACAGGCCATCTGCAGCGCGACTTCCGTGCCAGCGGCTGCGTGGGGAGGTGCCGCAGCAGCTAGTAAGCACGGCCACCTGCCACAACTCAAAGCCGCAGAGTCAACACGGAGCATTCCTCCCTTGGCACTTCTATCTTTGCCTCCCTCTCTTTTGTCCCCAGGCATCATATCCTTCCCATCACCCTCCCTCCCCAGCTAAGTACAAAGCCCTTCTTTTCAAATGGCAGAGGCTCCAAAAGCCCCCGTGTCCATGCCTTTCCTACTATATGTGCCCCACATTCTGCTGATCTTCATGTAGCTGATTCCCTTGTTGCCTCCCGCTGTTAACAAGCTCAGTCCCAGTCTATCCTTTAGCAGGCAGCACTATAGCCACTAGAGTCTAGTGGTTAAACATGGGCCTTGGGGAGCAGCACACCTAACTTCAGGCGCTGTTTATGCCTCTTCAGAGCTGTGTGATCTTCACAAATAAATAAAACTATAAATGTACTTACCTACCTCTTAGGGTTATTGGGAGACTCTGTCATAGAGCTATTGTGAGGCTCAAATGAGACAATGGATGTAATACATTTAGCACAGTACCTGACACATAGTGAGCAATTAACCAGCTGAAACCCTTACTTTTATACTATTTCCTCAATCTATAGTTCTTCCCTAATCCTGGCCACCTGTCTAAATACTAGCCATTTTTTAGTATTCCTCAGCCCCCTTCTCCTCTAAGCCTTCTACAAACTTTATTCTTTCCTATTTTATGCGTTTCTTAAGAACTCCGACATAAATTATGCCAGGATTGACTTCTAGCACAGGATATATGCCCGTCAGGTGAAATTCTTTGGCTAACTGACTATGGAAGGGGAGGGGGAGATTACAGCGTGCCGCCCCCCTCCCCCTCGGCCGTCTGGGTTGGCCTGGGCTCCGGCAGGCAGCTTCGCCCTGCCGCCGGCGAGCATGCCCTGCCTGGTCCTCGCAGTGTCCCCAGCGGGGGGGAGTTGGAGCTGCCCACGGCGTGCTGGCTTTGCCCCCTTCCCTGGCTCGCTCTCCTCACTCCCACGTAGGCTTCCTGAAATCACTTCCCAGATTAACCACCTGCATCAGGGTCCTCGTCTCAGCGTCTGGTTTTGGTGAAACCAGATAGGACAGGAGCTAACATGACAGAGTTCACGCTGTACGGCGGGTGTCCTGCTCTCTCTGTCTCATTCTCAACATTCTGAGGAGGCTGGGTGTTCTTCTGCTCATTTTATAGCAACAAATTAGAAAGCCAAGACTCAAAACAATCAAGTGACTTGTTCAGGGTCCTAAATATATTAAGTAGCATACCTAGCAATCCGTATGCTTCTTTGGGTGCCCATTTCTGAATCAATAATTGTGTGGAAAAAGGAATAAAACATTGCAAGATAGACAAACATATTACAGAAAGTAAAGTCAGGTAAAATTAGATCTCTTTCTCTGCCTTAGCCAAAATGTGACCAAAAGATTTAAAACTGAATTTAATAAAATAGTGTCTGGAGGCATAAATGTTGAGCACTTAGATGTCATATAAAAGCCTTATTTATAATCCACTTTCTTTATTCTGGGAAATAAAAATGAGAAGATATGGTAATGGAGAGCTGCCCAAATGAGTCAGATTTTATAAGAAGCTCTTAGACGATGAAACCGATTTGGCCTCTATGACATTTAAGAAAGAATTAGACAAAGGGGACTTTCCTGGGTACTTAGATACTAAAAGGAAAGGCTTAGATGGATGAGAAAAATTTCTTTACCTTATTAAAATTCCCATTCAGAATTGATTTTTAAAAATCTTCTCAAGTCACACTGTCTATTTATATAAGGGTTATTGAATTATAACATGAACTGTCAAATCCAATGAATATGGGTAAGGAGAGAGCTGGGCAAATGTTAAAGAAGCAAAAGACAAAGAGATATGTTTTCCATACAGGGGCAAGTATTAAATGACCAACACATTTCCTAGATATTTAGAATCTATATTAGTCAAATCAGAGAAGTTAGAAACATTCAGTTAGAATTAAGAAGTATTATCCAATTTAGTTAATGCATGTTACTTTCTGTGGTTCTATAGTCTAGCTGTCAAGTCAAGTTTGTAATTCTTGGAAAATAAGAGTGATGAGTTTGTATGAGGTAGATAGAGCCCAGGGTCTTCCGAGAAAATAGAACCGAGTCTTCAGTTTTCATGAATTTTGAGAGCACTTGATATTTATAGTAAGCTTTGAGATTATCAGACAAAAATGTGCAATAAATCTTTATTATGTATTGCCTCTGACGCTGCTACTGTTTGCCTTTTTGAATGTCACATGAAATCATAAAAAAGTAGTCAATTTGAATTGGGCATTATAGTTTCATTCCTTTGAATTTATAAGTGTTTTCACTTATGCATAACCCAGAAGAATGACATCATATTATTTACCGTAAATTTATTAGCTCTGCTATGAAGTCATTTAGTTTTGAGCCCTAGAAAAAAAATGACTGCTAGCCAACTGAGCTTTTGTAGTGTGTCCTCTAATTCACATTTTAATAAGTGTCATTTTCTAAGTGCCATTACCTCATGTTTTGGCTTTAACCCAGAGGAATACTGAGAGAATAAGAGAAATGTGCTTTCTAACTGATTCATCCATATTTTATTTTACTTTTCATTAAGAAATTACTCTTTGAAGAAAATCAATAATCTTCTCTCACTAAGGGAGAGGTTAGTGTGTTGCAGTGGTGCAATTTAATTTCTCAAATCAAACTGCTTTCAGCCAGCTGTTGCTGATAGAATTTCTGTCCTTTCTTGTTCCTGCAGCCTGGGTACATGGCGACCCCAGAAGAGTGGCTTATCCTACAGACAGCAAGGGCCACTTTTGTGGCCAGAAGGGCACCCCCAATGAGTGAGTATGGCCACCTTTGCTTTTTCTGATTTTACTGGTTAAGCTAGAACATGGAAAGCACGTTTACATTAATCTTACTGGACTTCTTAACAAGACTGAAATTCATAAGGAAGGCCTTGCCTCCCCCTTTTCCTAGAAACAATTTATAAGCAGTTGGAGAGTTTCATACTACATGATTAGGACAAGATGTCATTGTTATGCAGCATTGTATTCGATTGCATGAAGATGCTGCTTAATGAAAATATAATTATAATGGATGAATCAGACCAGTGATTTTACCAGAAGTTATATTTGAAAATGCCTCATGAAATGGCTTTTGGGAAGCTGAGTTCTGAGCAGCTGCTAAAAAGCTAGGCATTGCAGTTGTTAGACTTGTGTTTGCCATAAGTAAATCACTCTGATAAATCACTCCACCTTTCAAACTGAGGAGCACACCCAGAAAGTCTTCCATGTGTGGTAGACTTTTCAAGGCAACTTGGCTGCTGCAGACAATGACTCCTGAGTAGCAGAAACAAGCAAGGACGAAGGTTCCATCAATTTCCTTTCTAGTGTTAATCATAGCAGAAGTTTCCATTTCTGAAAATAAGTTTTTTATTTCTTTACCTTAAGAAAACCAAATAAAAAACATAAATCTCACATTTTATGAAAACGTTCCCTTCTTTCTTGCTAGTCCATTTCTTTTCTGTCAATATGTGGGGTTGCTACTAGAGCTGGTTCTTCATAACCAATTCCATTTCCATGAAAGCTGGTATTGAATGGGTAAAAGCCAAACAACAACAGCCCCCTCCCACTAACAGCAACAGCATATAAGGCTTCGAACACTTATTATTTGATATACACAGATTAAAAAACTAAATTCAGGAAGGGGTTAACAAAATTCACGGAGTAGAATTTTTACAGGCAATCAAGAGAAACCAAAATTTTGGAGTGGGAGGAGTGCTCAATTATGTCAGGTTGAGTTTATAGTGGACAAATTGACTCCTACAATAGGGCCTCATTGCCTATTAGAGACAACTGGACTAAACTCTGATTTGTGGTGGTAATTCCTATTTTAACCTCAGTAACTAAAAAACGTCCTAGGCATGACAACAAAACCTTCACACTGTGAAGGACAGATAGAGCACCAGATGGTAAAAATCATACAAATCTCTAAGTCTATAGTTCTTTAAAACAGGCAATTTTTAAAGGGCCCCGTAACAATAAATTTTCCAGACCTAAGCCAGTGACCCACTTATTTCCAACAAATATGAGATGGCATGACTGTCAGTACATAAAGATCATACAAAGATAATCCTAGCATAACACAAACATATTCATTAAAGCATTATTTATAATAACATATTATAAGTTATACAGCTATCCAACAATATGTGGGTGATAGTAAATTAGGGCCTATTTATTTAATGAAATAAAATAGAGCCATTAAAAATTATTTATACATTTTTAAGAGTTGATTCTGTTGATTTTCCTTTATAGTTTCTGGATTTTGTATCACAGTTATATTTGCCTTTTTCTTCTCCTGAAAATAACATTCACTCATATTTTTTCTAGTATTTTTATGGTTTCCTTTTGCATATTTATATTTCTAACCCATTTGGAATGTATTTGTGTATATATAATATAGTAGGAATAACACTTTCATTTTTTCCAGTGTAGGAACCAATTTTCTCAGAATAGTTTGTTAAATAATGAACTCTCCTCCTGCCTCTGATTTCTGATACCACAATTATCAAATAATAAATTTATATATTTGTTTCTGAGTCATCTATGCTATTATGATATATATTTTTAAATATCTTAATTGTCTTAATTCTTAAAGTAAAAGGATACTAATTTGAAATTTCAAGAAAGTTGCTTTAAATTATGCTTAAAGTTTTTCATAGTAAGTGAAAATACTTATAAAAACAGGTTTCAATAATCAAAAGAGTGTGGGACTAGGCAGAAAGAAATAAACCTATTTATAAATACAATTTTAAGGTGATGAAGATGGGATTTCAAGTCAGTAGCAAAAAGATGGATTATTAAATAAATGGTATTGAATTAACTGAATCGCTATTCATGAATATAAGATAAAATTGGATATTTATCTCATACCTTACAACACATGAATACTGAAACACTGAAGATTTTGTATATAAAATATATGATCAAAAAAGTAACAAAAGAAAATGTAGGGATATATTTCTAGAGGCGTGGGGTAAAGAAGGCTTTTCCATATGGCACTAATGGCTAGATCATCCAGACAGAAACATCCACTGTGTTCATGGTTGATTGCCTGTGATCCCTATGTTCTTTGGTGTAATATGATACTAGGTGCATAGTCTCCAGATAGATACTTCTTGACTGACTTGATTTCAAATTAGATTTAGAATTATCTGTTTGTGTGATGGGAGTCATATTTCTAAAAAAAAAGAAATAAACAAATTTGACACATAAAAATACAAGAGTAGATGATCATCAGAGACCCCAAGAGAAAACGGAGTGCTTTGTTCATGTGTAGCTTTTTCTGCCTTTTGACTTTAAGGGAAGTTATGCATGATTCTTGGGTAGGATCCTTTTCTTTGGGATTTCCACTAAAAAGTGAGAACTCGATTGATTTTGATGCCACCTTCTGGCTACTACAAAAACTTCAGCTTAAAAGGTTGCATTAAAACAACTTTGAACGTGATCTGAGACAGCCTGCTTGCCCAGTCTGAACTCTCCAGCTAGGGAAACAAGAAAGATTAACAGGGCAACGCTCTTCCATTTAAATGCCACATCAGTTGGCATCTAAGTGAAGCAACATTTCCAATCTTACTAAAGAAAGAAGAACCAGGTCTCCCTTGTGAATTTGTTCTGCTGCTGTGTCAGTTTTCCAGTGAGGCCTGTGTCCTGTGGGGGGTGACCAGGCTGTGCTGGCTGTCAGATCACACTACAGCTTGAACTGGAGGGAAGCTGGCTGTCATACGTCAGCTTTCAGAATGCCAGAACATGATGGGTTGCAGGCTCGGGTGCCAAATCCCACAGAAGCCCTTGCTATCCCCAGAAGGTTAATTCAACAAAAGAGATGTCTGTTTTTGCCTGTTGTTTTTTTTTTTCCTGGATGCTAGAATTCCAAGTGCAGGTGTATGGGAGAAGCACAGAGGTGCTGATTTGCACTGTAGATGTGTATGTAAACTTTCAATTAATCTTCTCGGTTTCAGCCACATTTCTTTTAACTTTGAATCCAGCATATCTCATGATTTCTAACAGGTATAATCATGCCCCACACTTTCCGTAGCCTCAGTGGGGCACCCATCACTCAGCACACTCTCATAATCTTTCCATCTTTCCCAAATTGTTGAACTCTCCTGTGTAATTGTGAGCAGACCCCACCCTCCACATCCTTAGCTGGAATGGTGAGGTTTATTTCTTTTTTTTACATTTATGCTTTTATTTTCATGAATCTTGGGAAAGAAGAAAGATGGGCTTACATGCATGGTAGATCATCTTAAAGGAGTAGTTTGTAGTTGCTTTTATTTTGCTGTTTCTTGGTGAAAATATAATTTAAGTTAAATAATGAATTATTTCCTCAGTCACTCCCACAGAATTGCTCCACTGCAACCATCATCACCACCTACTTTTTAACCTAAGAAATCGGAGGTCCACTGATGTTTAAGGATATCAGTCAGACTGTAATAGAATAACTACAAATTTGTGCTGAAAAACTAAGGATTTTAAGATTTTGAAAAAAATTTATTGTGGAATATGTCTCATGCATTCCACATGGAATGAGCCAAGCGCTAGGCTAAGTGTGAGCAAGGTAGGGATATAAAGAATAATGTATAAACCTTACCCTTGAGGATAGCATAATCTAGTGACTAGCTTGAGTTTATGTAGCATTTTGCAGGTTATAAATCGATTTTACTTATGGGGACTCTTGACACCTACTGATTTACCATTCATAGTTTTAACTACTCCTGAGAGACTCCAGTGATCCATGACATGCATTAAATTATTCATTTGCTTAGGTACAAATTTGAATCACATGCACCATGAGACTGTGTGGATGATATAGCTGCTCGGGTGGTGAAAGAGCCAAGCTCTTGTGGAGTCCTGAAGTAGCCTTGTGTGTACTGTGCATGAATTTACAACCAGATCTTGAGCCATCTGAACTTGATGGGGTTACAAACATGAAATGTGTTTATTTTCCCCCATAATTGCCTTTAACAATGTTCTTTCACGTCTCTCTTCTCACTTTGGCATCTCAGGTAGAGTCTAATGTTTTCAAGACGCTCTCTGTTGTTAAAAAGTTCAGTGTAGTCTAATGTAAAATTTGAATCTCATATCTTCTAATCCCTCTGCTCAGGTTTCAACTCTGCAAAGGAACTTAAAGTGGAAGAGAGGGCCTGGCCTACTACTTCCCTTCTGTTTCCTCTCTTCTAGTTCTAGCTCTTTATTTGTGTTGTGAGGGATAGAAGGAGGAGGAGTGCCTGTCAGTTTCTTGGCCACTGTCTTCACCCCATATGGTGCTGCTACTGCAGCTAAGATACAACTAACTTGCCATCAAGCATTCTCTTTGGGGTGGCACCCAAAGCCTGGTTCTCTCATGGATGGTGTCCAAGTGGAAATTCTCTGGAGAAGTCCTCACTGAATAGTTCTTTGATTTTAGAGATCAGCTTAGCTTGCCCTCCTCCCAGCCCCTTCAGTTTCATTTCTGGCGATTCACCTCCAGTCTCTACCAGGGTAATGCTAGGCCATTTACTCGACTCTCCATCCTTTCATAACAGGCTACTTCAACACACACTTTTCCTGTCCCATTGGCCTTTTCAACTCTCTGTGGTCTCTTTGGGTCTCATTTCTCCCTGCTAAAGTGGGCAGAGAGGGTTGACTAGTAAGTCTGCCATATAAGTGCTGTCCAGTTGGAAAATGAGATGCTGGCCTGCCCTTCCTACAGGTACCCTCGGTCTCTATGAGGTACTCTCAGAGCCCTGGGTAGTTTAGCATTGGGAAGAAACAATCACGCTTTCAATAAGGAAGGGATGAAAAATCCTCTTAAATGTGGTCACTATATTCTGCCAACTCCACTGTCTGCAAGTCACCTCCTTCCCCCTACCTTTCATTTATGTCGACGGGAGCAGGAAAAGGGTAGAAGTGATACAAGGGTCTGGCCCACGATTTTTGTAGAGGGCTTTCTTTGTCTTTAGATTTGGATACTACTTGGTGATTCTGGGTTAGTAGAAAAAGTATTATTCAACACCCTATTATGTATTTTATGTTATGTACATAGTCACATTAATTAATTGGGGACTTGACAAGGTGCTGGGAACATTTTTCTCAGATGTTTAGGGCTTCTCTCAAAGTATGATTTCTATACCACCTGTATCTGAATCTAGTGGGGATCATAGGGGAAAAAACTGAATTCCTGGGCCACCCCAGAAATTTGGGCTCTCAAGGGTGGAGAAGGAGAGTAAGGGATCATGATTTTCAACAAACACTCCATTTTACTGATGCATATTATAATTGGACAAGCACTTGTCTTGAGTTCACTACATATTACTTTGTGTACTGCCAACACCAGTGTGAATTAGGTAAAGCTGCTGTTACTCCAGTATACTGCTGAGGAAACTGAGATTCGAAAGAGAACCAAGGCTACCCTGGCCAGTATGGCTCAGTGGTAGTGTTGGCCTTTGCACTAGAGGGTCAAGGGTTCAATTTCCGGTCAAGGGCATGTACCTGGGTTGCAGGTTCCACCCCCGCTCCTATCAGGGTGTGCAGGAGGCAACCGATCGATGTGTCTCTCTCACATCGATCTCTCTCTCTCTCTCCCTCCCTCCCTTCCACTTTCTTTAAAAAAATCTATGGAAAACAATATCCTTGGGTGAAGATTAACAACAAAAAAAAGAGGACCATGGCTTGCCAAATGGCAAAATAATGCTTCACTCAATGCTAGTGATAATCAATATCAACCTGTCCTATTATGATGCCACTGACCTTAACTCTGAACACAGAGGATATGTTACTCAATTTATTTATCTTTTTTTCAGATTACCAAAGTAATACATGTTTAGTTTAGGAAATCCATAAAAGTACAAAAAAATAACTAAACAAATATAGTTCCATCATTCAGATATATTTTTTCTGCATATCATGTTATACTTGTTTGTGCAAATTTAAAATAAAGTCATACCTTAATACTCTTTAGTAATGTGCTTCCTAAAATTAATATAATGGAAATTTCTCCAGCCATTTAATATTTTCTTCAACAATAGTTACAATGACAATGTAGTCTTTTATTTTATGGATGCGTAATTTTTTATTTAACCAATCCTCTATTGATGGATGATTTGACTATTTCAACTTGTTACTATTACCAAACAGTGCTTTAAATGTTAAGCTGTTTAAAAGGAAGTTGGGGATTCTATTGCAGTAATCCAGAGAAAATGAAGTCAATTTTTAAAGGCCATGTTATATTAAAAGTGTACAGGGTCTGAAATGATATGGAACATTTACACAGTCACTAGAAAGATTATTTTGTTGTTTTTTTAAACAGGAACAAGAGCATTTTGTTTTATTTTAACCTGTTCAGCTGTACGAGTCCCTCCGTGATGATAAACCTACAGTGCCCTACTACACAGGTAAGGCAACAGAAGCCTAGCTGGTATTGTAAGCAACTTTGACCATTCTTGGGTGAAATAATTCAGAAATTCCATTTGCGTTCTCTGTGTGTGTGTGTAGTTAAGGATGAATTTATGAAAAGTGGGAAGGCATGAATATTAGCTTATGTTTGCTCACATGCAATCAAAATGAAGCAGGGATTAATCATTTTAGCATCACTAAAGAACCTTGGTAATTATCTTTTATAAATGAACAAACCACAGCCCAGAGAAGTGGATGCCTTTTTCTCCAGATTAGAATTACCAAGAGTAAATCTAGCTACTGTAAGTAACAAACATCAGTTTTTCATTGACTTAACCCAATAAAGTTTCTTTTGTTTTGCTTTGTTTTTGCCATAGAGCAGTATACGGTGGTGTGGTCAGTGGGGACTTTTCTCCGGGCTCCTTCCATCTGGTGGCTCTATCATCCCTTTATTCCACCTGGATTGTGTTCTTTGAGAGGAACTCCCTAATCCATTGCATCCAATTGTCCTTTGCTCAACCACTTGGAAGGTTATTTCCTGTTCATCAGCCTCCAGTCCATACCATTGCCCAGCACTGGAAATATGCTGTATATTCAGGGACATAGAGCTTTGAAGCTTTCTTCCTATTGTGCAAGTTTTAGCACCTCAAACATTAATTTAATAGTCAAAGGCTTTTTTAGGTTGGCTCGTGAATTCTTTGGCAGTATAACTACCTCAAAAACATAGTAGCTACTGACTTGCTTCTTCTTGGTTTCATGTGCCAGTTTACCATACCCAAAGATCTTTCCTAGAATCTGTTTTTAGATCTGCTTTCTTTCTTTCTTCCTCAACTCTGTCAAAGACTTTTCATATCTTATTCCCTTCTGAGACTAAAACCAACTAGGGATATTGACATCTTAGTTCTGTGACCACTTCAACCACAGATCTTGTTTTCTACTAGAGCTCCCCATTGCCAAGGTCAAATCTTTGATCTTGTCAGTACCAATAATTACCACCCTTTGTAATCTCTATTTCAAATATCCCACTGTCTGGTCATGTCAATCCCTCTAACATCCCAATGATTCTTCTACGTCACCAGGACCTACTAACCCCTGATCCTAACCCCTTCAAAGTGTCTCGAAAGCAGTTCCCTCAAGCTTTCATCTGTCTCCCTTTTTACCTCACTTACACTCCATGGTTCCTCTTTAAAATCACCCCCTCATATGAACCCTCAATTTCTTTCTCCCCCTCACTTAGTTGTACTTCCCTGGCAAAGCCTCATCTCTGGCTAAATGCAGCTGTCCGTGTTTTCTTGGAGAAAACGCGCATAACCGTCCTTTACATTCAGGACCACTAACCTCGAGTGGGCCCTCATTGCTGCCTCACAACCGCACTGTAGACCCCTTGTCTGTTTGCCAGCCTGCTGTCCTAGAGACAGTTTCACTCCTCTCCTCTCACCTTCAGCTCCAAGGCCTCCTTCCCGCACTCGGCGCACTCGCTTTGCCTCCCGTCTCGCTGAGGAAGTGTAAGCATTGAGAGGACAACTTCTAAAAGCTCCCGCACTGACACCCGCCTGGCCTTAGATCTGATCTTGTCTCACAAACTCAAGTGCACCACTCCAGAAATCTACTGTTTTTTCTTTTTATTACCATTTTCCTTCTCTACTAAATCATCCCTGTCAGTATACAAACATGCAGTTATTTCTTCCATCTTAAAAAATGATCTCCTTGATCCCACAGCCTTTTCCAGCTACTAGTAGCTCTGTATCTTTGTGCTTCTTTTTTTTCTTCTTTTTAAAACTGATCAAAAGGATATGTTTAAATCCTTCTCATTCTCATTCAGGCTTTTACTGCTACTCCAGTTTCCTCCAAATGATACCACTGACCTCCATATTATTAAATCAGGGATCAATTCTCAGCCCACGTGCACTTGATCTAACAGCATTACTTAATCAATCCTTCCTCCTTAAAATACTTTGTTCACTTGGCTTCCAGAGCACAACAGTGTTTTGTTTCCTCCCAGCTCTCTGGTTGCTCCCTATCAGTCTCCGTTGCTGGTTTCTCTCCATGTTTCCAGCATCTTCTCAGCATTGGAGTTCCCTCCTCACCAAACTCATTCGTCTTTGAAATCTGCATTTACTCCTTTGGTGGCCTCACCTAGTCTTGTAGTTTGCACACCATCTATATGCTGCCTTCCCTAATTCCTATCTCCAAATAAGTCTGCTCCCTGAACTCCAGATCTTTGTATCTAGCCACCTAAGCAATGTCTCTATATGGATATTTAGTCGGCATCTTAAATCAACATGTGCAAAACTCAATTCCTCATCTTTGACTCCATCCCTAAAATTCTTTTCTAGCCCCAATAGTCTTTCCTATTTCAGTTAAGGACAGCTCCAAATACCATGGAGCTGTCCTTATTTTTGATTTCTCTTTCTCTCACGCTCATGTTTGAGCTGTTAGCTAATTCCTCTGGTCTCCATTGAAAATATACCCTGGACCAAACTACTTTTCACCACCTCTTCTTTTTTTCAAGGGACCATAATTTTTTTTCTAGATTAATTCAGTGAACTCCTGACTGATCTCTCTGCCTCCATCCTGGCCCCCCAAACTCCAACCCCTTAGAGTCTCTTTTCCACCCAGCAGTCAGTGTGATCCTGTTAAATACTGTCACATTATGTCTCTCCTTTGCTCACCCCACCTCCATAGCTTCCCAAGTTACTCAGATTAAAAGCCAAGATTCTAACAGTGGCCAACAAGACCCTTCACTGGCTGCCCGGATCTCTGACCACGTAGTCTATTACTCTCCCTCTTACCACTGCACTTGGGTCATATTGGCCATCTGTTGTCTTCAAAGGATCCAGGAAAGAGCCTTAGATTTTGCTGCTCACCCTGCCTACGGTACTCTTTCTTCAGGTGGCTATGGCTTAATCACTAGTCATTTTCAAGTCTTTCTTCAGTGTTACCTTTTTACTGAGGCCTTCCTTGACTACCTATTTAAAATTGGAATCACACCCAGCTAACTTTCATCCTTCAGCCTCCTTTCTAGTTTTCTTTTTTCATAGCATTTATTACCATCTATAACAAATAATTTTATTTCGTTGTTGTTACCTATCTCTCCTTACTAGAAGATAAACTGTTTGAGGGCAAGGATTTTTATCTGTTTTGCTCACTATTATATCCCCAGTTCCTAGAACAGACTCAGAGTAGGTGATTAATAAATATTTGTTGAATGAATGAGGGAATTAATATCTTCCTACTTCCAGTCTAGGAATCTTTCTGCTATACTGTACAAATCTATCATTTCCAGGATGAAACAACAACAAAAATCCTTGTGCACTATGCCTTTTTGGTATTTCATAAATTATTTACTAGATCATTATTTCTTCATAGCAAATGTAGTGTTTTAACTTTCCATGTAACTCTCTCTTCCATTCACCAAATTCTAATTTGTATTACAATGTTAAACCTATATGAATTGAAGATGTAATAAATTACTGATAAAACTTCTACATTCAGAGAACCCCTTTGTGGTTAATCAAAACATCAGAACTGAATTAGAATATATTTTAGCTGCCAATAATGCACACTTACTTTTAGTCTGCCAGGCAATAGTTTATCTACTGATTCAAGCTATATTTTTATGTATTATATTTTTTGTTAACTGCCACCATGGTCGAGACATGTGTCACAAGCACTTAATGGACAGAATGTGATCAATTAGGATACCCAACCTCAATGTGACCTTCATTTTTGGCTAATTACATGTTGATTGCTACTAATCAGCACCCTATTTGAAGTGTACAAATTGGTCCGATAGAAGGAGAGAGTAAAGAGCAGTTGCTATACTGTTTTTTGACAGCTCATTTTGTGTCTGAAATGAAATTTAATGTGCTTCCCTTTAACAAACCACTTCTATACCATTTAATTACTCTCTTTATGTGTTGCATACACAGGACTTTTATATATGTAGTATGCATTGTATGTGTATATACTTATAAATATAGAAATCATCATGGGCCCAACTCAGTAATTCCTACCATCATTTAAAGCCTGAGAAAACACTAGTACTTTCAGTGTTCACTTTTATAAATCCATTTAAATGTATCCACTAGGGAACTAGTTTAGTTATCTTTCAAAGTCATTTAGAAAATTGTCAAAGTCTAAGTGTCTGTGAGGTAGCTCCTATTAATGATTTATTCAACTTAGTTGTAATCAAGAGTGAATGTTTTACATTTGCATTAATAATAACCTTAGCATTCTTCCAAAAAATAAAATAGCATATTAGATGCTGTGAATGTCCCTAAACAGTTCTTCAGCTTTGGTAGAAAGATAACTGTGAAACTTCTGATAATTCCTCTAGAGGTGTATGTGTGTGTGTATGGGATTGTGTGTGTGTGTGTGTGCGCACATGTGTATGAGAGACAGAAAGAAAATACATAGGGAGGTACAAATGTGGAGATGGGTTGTCAGAACTTCTAGAAGGAATTAGACTTCTACTACTACAAAACAATATCAACCGTGAGATTTCAGCTGTTCATCTAGTTATCCACCTGCTGCCTTAGCTTTGGGTTCGACACCAAATATCCTTGTGTATAACAGAAACAGGCCTACAGGTGAGAAGGCCATGCGAGCTCAGCAGCAGTGTTTCTGGCTACCTGCAAGTGGAGGCCGAGCTAGAATCTGGCCAGCAAGAGTAGTTAGCCAAGTGTACAGCCGGGGAATGGGGCAAGTCACAGTGGGGGAGACTTTCACAGGAGGAATTGAAGGTGGAGGAGGGAATGTGTGAGAATTGACTGCAAATCTCATGACTTAATATGATTTTTTTTTACAAAGAGTAACGAAACCAACAGAGCGCGTCTTCTCTGACTCTGCTTTCTCTCTGTGGGGTTACTAGCTGGATTTCAGTCACTTCACGGTGGCTCTGGACTAGCACAAGGATCTGGTTTGACATTAATAGGTCCCCAAAGTTCATTAATGTGAAATAATTGCATCAGTGACCTCTCTGCCCACATTTGACTGGTGTTGCTAAACGACTACAATAACAATTCATTGCCACAGATAGCCCTCATTTTGTTAGTTTTCTGTGGTAATAAAACCTAATTATGTTTTAAGAATTGTTGAGAATTCACTGGCACTGATAGTTATTATGTGGCATAAGTTATCAATTTTTGGAGCATTTTAAATCACCATTTTATTCAAATATAGGAAAGGAAGCAAGACACTAACCCTGAAAATGCATACACTACACAGGCAAAATGGGTGAAATCTGAATAAGGTTAATGGATTGTAACATAATCCATTTCCTGGTGGTGATATTCTACTGTAGTTATGCAGATTATTACCACTGGGCAATCCTGGGTGAAAGGCATGTGGAATCTTTTATTTCTCACAGTTGCATGTCTATCTACAATTATCTGAAAATCAGAAGTTAAAAATAAGTCCATCATTTTACAACCTCTTATCGTTTTAACAGAACATCAACATCAAAGGGCAAGGTGTAGAAATTGATAACCAGTATATGAAATTTCATTTTTTACACTAAGATTAGAAAGTTGATTTAGTTTCTTGGATGGAAAATGATACTTGCTGTTTACCATGGTGGGTAATTTAGAAGTCTGACCTTATAGATACTTCCTTGGTTTGTTCAGCTCAATTCAGTCCCTGCCATTGTGCTCCTTTTCTTCATAGATCTGTGTCTCCAAGTGCCCAGAAAAATTTTTAACCTATGTGGAAATGCAATTGCCATTCAGAAGAGACAAAAACTCTTGGGAATATTACAACCAGTTCTGCAAGACCCCTATTACTCAACCCGCAAAAGTATGTGAGTTTAAGTTTATAAATTTAGAAAATAATTTAACTTTTGTTTCAATCTTAAGTGTAACATGAGCATTTGTACCTGGAGAAACTCCCAAATCTAGGAAATGATTACTAAAGGCACCATTCCATTAAAACGTGCACAAATGCACATCTACATACAAAAGCATACATACCATTTATAGCGTATCATTTTGTCGACTTGGGTGGTTATGCAAGGTGGTTAAGTCTGGTAAGTTAGCTTCAACTCTTCCCTGACACCAACAAATTCTCTACTTGGCTGGATGTCTTAGCTCTGTCAAGAGCTAAGAGCTAAAGCCATTTGCAGTCAGTATTTCATCAATGCGGTGATGAAGCCCAATGGCTTAGAGGCAAGTAGAATTTTACTTCCAACCCATTTGATAATTATTCATTTAAAAAAATCCCCAGACCCTACCTAGGGTTAAGATTTATAAAGGAATTCTAAAGCTTAATTATGTTAATAAGTATTAATGACTTCCAAATTAGAGAAGATGCTTGTTTTTCCAGAAGAAAATTTAAGGATTAGAGACTCAGGATGTGACTAAGAAAAAGATACATACTTTCAAAAGTGGGCCTTGGTTTCAAAGGGTCTGGTTTTATTATTGCTGATTCTACAGAAATGTAGTTAGTGCATTTATCAGCCAAGTATATGGGTGTGATAATCTTATAGTTACTTTTATTAGAGGAGTAATTGGAGTAATGAGATTATTATGCAACTGAATTTTTAATGGACACATTTTTATATTGAGAGTAAAAATTGTCATCACATAGCTTGCGAAATGTTAACATACTCTTCCTTCCATTTTAGTCTCTCTCACAAGTAATAATGGATGATGATTGTCCAACAGCGATTTTTCCAAGCAAGCCTTGTAAGTGGTTATTATTTCACCTTAGAAATGCAGAATCTATGAAGAAGTTATTTAATTCAATTCCCTCATTTCACAATGAAAGAAACTGAGGCCAGGAATAGTACTATGACTGGCCCAAGATCCCAGAGATAATTAGGAAGGAAGCCAAAGCTAAAGCCCATTCTCTTGACGCTAGCCAGGGATATTTCCACTGGAGTTATGTGACTTTTTGGGTTTTGCTGCATAAACATACACACACACAAAAAGACTGAAAATTGATTTTTGAAAGCCCAATCAGATTGATTATTTGGTACTCTATGAACACACTTAAGCATAGACAGAGACACACTTGCACACCGACCCCTAAATCCAGCCCAAAAGTTTGCTCAGAAATTGCTTGGGGAGTGATGGTAGGACATATACTTTTCTTTATAATTTGAAACTGAAAATTATTTATATGTCTCCTAAATGAATCAATACTTTACATTTTTAAAATTTATAAGCTTTTTTAAACTCTATTTAAAGGAAAATGAAATAATCACTCATTTTCTTTTCTTATGGATGTAATTTTAACTGCAGGGAAAAATCTTTATGTAAAGATGTTCACCACAATGCTATCCAAAAGGACTCCTCAAAAAAATAAAGAAGAAATACTCTAATGCCCAAGGGCAAGAGAATGCTCAAATAAATTATTATATATTCATCAAATGAAATATTTTTTTTCTTTGAAAAGCCACATTTATTATTTGTGGGTTTTTTTTCTAAATATAAAAGGAAGACATGATCAAACTTGGAACATATGAAAGTAGAAAAATACCCTCTTCTATGATGGAAAAAATAAAATAAAATGGAATAAATTTCTTTAAAAAGTAGAAAAATAAAATATAAAAATTATCTATAATACAAGTTTTTGGTGTGTGCCCCTTTGATATTATTTATGCATATACATACATATACATATTTTATGCATGTTATAAAATTAGATTACACAGCATAGTTTTGCAGCTTGCCTTTTTATTTGGCAGTAGATCTTGAACATTTTTCTATGACTGAAAGGTACTAACTGTACTATTGAATACACTCACAGGTGGCTACTAAGAACTTGAAATGTGGCTAGTCTGAACTGAGGTGTGCTGTATGTGAAAAACACACACCAGACTTCAAACTCTCAGTATGAAAAAATTGTAAAATGTCTCACCAATAATTTTTATATTGATTACATATTGAAATAATATTTTGGCTACATTTGGTTAAATATATAGGGTGTCCTCTAAAAATGTATACACACACTTTGAATAATTATAAAATATGAAATATTTTAGAATTATTAAATATAAGTATTATGTAATATAATGTTAAATGAAATGCAAATTAAATGTAAATTAAGATAAAGGAAAAAACTATCCAAAGAAAAAGAGTGGAAAGAAATATTCCAAAATATTAAGTGGTTGTTTTGGAAGTGGCAAAACACTGGGCATTTTCTCTTTTCTTCTTTTTTCTATTTCTCCAGTTTTTCACAATGAGTATATATTTCTTTTATTTATTTATTTATTTATTTATTTATTTATTTATTTATTTATTTAAATATATCTTTATTGATTTCAGAGAGAGGAAAGGAGAGGGAGAGAGAGAGAGAGAGAGAGAGAAACATCAATGATGAGAGAGTCATTGATTGGTTGCTGCCCACAACCCGGGCATGTGCCCTGACCGGGAATCGAACCCTGATCGCCTGGATCCTAGGTCGACGCTAAACCACTGAGCCACGCCCGGCCGGGCTATATATTTCTTTTAAAATAGAAGAAAGTCGATGTTCATCAGTTTTGAGTAAAAAGTCGGATAAAAAGTTGAAGTAGCTACCACCAAACAACGTTTTGTAGGCTCCCATTACTCCTCTCTGGGTCATTAAAGACTCAAGCAAAGATGCAGGTTTCCCAAGCAATTGCATTTCACCAGGAAGCCCTAGGCATCAAGTGCCTGTAGCCAAGAATGTTACAAATTTTTATGCAAAAGGTAAAAATGACTCATTAGTCACTGAAGATACAATAGGTATAAAAGTATAAGACATAACCCCTGCCCTTACAAGTACAGTTTGGTTAAATCCCACAATATAAAACATACATCAGTGATATATAAATGGATAAGGCATAGTCCCTCACAGTCTAGTGAAGGAGACATCAAGGTAAACATTGCGATCAATGTGTATTCCCCCTAGTGTGGGATTAAGTATAGTTACTTAGTAGAATAGTATGCAGCTAATAAAATTCACTCATTAAAGAGTTTATAAAAAGAAATGAGTAATATTAAAAGAAGAAAAAAAAAAACCCACAAGGGAAAACACTGCAAGTACTCTATGGTTATAACTAAAAGAAAAAATATATTGCTGGAGAAAGACTGAAAGGAAATTCACCAAAATATATTTCACTGTGGGTTGTAGAACTATGTATAGTTTTGTATCTTCCTTCATATTTTCTCTATTTTCCAACTATATAATGAGCATATTTAATGAAGCTAGCAGAGTGGATGAGTTATTGCCTAGGAATAATATCTAGAACAAACATGGGGAGCTCTGTAGGTGGGAAAAGTTGTATTTAAGGAGTGGAAAGGGAAAGTGCATAGAAAGACAGAAGGGCAGGAGAGAATTTGCACATGTAAGGCAAAGAAGACTTTCAAAAGGCAGCAATTGTCTACCATGTCAAAGACTCAGGGAAGTTAACTCATCCAACAGCAAGTATTTACTGAGTTTCGCCATGTACCAAGCACTGTGCTAGGTCATGGGCTCAGGCAGGATGAAGACTGAAAACTATTTGAAGGTTTGGGGGGTTAAGACGTCCCCAAAATTGATTTACTAAGTCCCCTAGGCTGGGAGTCAGGTCATTCAGGGCATCACTGGGAGGATAATTTGCACGGAGTGGTGGGGGCAGAAATATGATGGGTTAAGAGGAAAGAGAAGCAACTGGTAGAGACCTACTATGTGAATTTTGCCAGAGAATGGGAAGGGGAAAGATAGGGAGGTTAATGCAGGAATCAGTCGTATTATAAAGTCAGGAAAGGCTTCAGAAAGACATATTTCCTCCTTTCCTGTATTAACTACTTTAGTATGCTCAGGCCTAGACTCTATATGGACCCATGCAATCTGTGATGCTTTGTTGGGTTGCAGCCTCCTGGGGAGCTTCCCAGGTGAACTCGGAAACCAGCTCCCATGCACGGAGGGCAGAGAGAGACCGAAGAGAAGTCTGTTTTAATAAGCAAGGGGTCTTAGTAGGCTTTTCTTGGGCGACCTCCAGACGGGTAGTTTTCTGTACCCACATGCCAAATCTTTAAAGTTTATATAGAGGACTTAACAGGGGTAAGTCACACACGGGAGACCCTAATAGGGCTTAGTCACATACCCAGTCCAGATGCTCTCATCACAATATTTCTATTTCAAGCCTGTGCCCAAGGCACCTTCTAGCTTGGAAAGGGCAAGCGGAGCACATTCCAAGCACAGGGAAGGGAGTGGGGAGCCTTCAGTTGCCCAGGTCCGGCTAGTAGGTCAAACCACAGGTCATATCTTTTTGATGACCTTCCCTCATGACTGTGACCGTGACCATGACTGACTCATAATCACAGGGTCTATTATTTTGCAGTGTGCCCCGAGGAGTCCTCAGGGGTGTTCACTAGCATGGAAGTGGCTCGTTTGGTGGCTATATGGCTGCATTGCAGACAGAGGTCATGGCAACAATCTAGGCATGTGCAAAGTTGAAAAAAAGATTTCCAAAATCAGTGACAACATTTTTTTTTTTTTTTACCAGGAGGCTCATGATCTGAAAAATTGATTTACTAAGTCCCCTAGGCTGAGAGATCACTCAAGGCATTTACTTGTGTCCTCATGTGATTTAATAAAGGTGCTATATTAACATACCCATCAGGTATGAACACACAACATATAAAATATGTTATATTTCTATATATATTATATTTTTATATATACTCGGTAGGTGGGTACGAAAATCTACCTGTCTTGCAGCTGCTCAAAACGAGCCTCGTCAGTTCCCTTGCTTATTAAACCTGCCGCCTTCCAACCCGGAGTGGGCTGCCTTTTTCTTCCATCTCTCCTTGCCCTCTGTGTTTGGGAGCTCATATTAAATTTATGCCTGGGAAGCTCCTAGCCATGTTTATGAACCAACATGCTTCTTATAAGAAAAAAAAAATGATTTATTTTTTATTTTTTCCCCTCTTCACTAAAACTGGGGTTTACAATATTTTTAGTAATACAGACTTATAAAGGGGCAAGGATTCTATTTAATCAAAACAAGCTTATGGAAGGTTGAACAGTGAATTATCTCTTCTCGGAAACTGTGCTAGTCTACAAAGTGTGGGTCATTTTTGACAGCTTTAGTATTTCCATTTCCAGCCCCCCTAAAAAACCGTGTAAATGAGAAAGGTAGAAGGAAGGCAAATTATTGAGGCTTTGTAAATCAAAATGTGGTTGTCTTAGTAGTACCTAAAATTTGAGCTGGTTTTTATTTCCCAAGAAATTATTTACTAATCTCTGATTTTCAAGGTTTCACTCAAGGAGTATCTAAGCTTTTTTTTTTTTTAAATAAAGTAACAAAACTAAACTCATTCAGTCATATAAATGTAGCCTTTTAGAAAATGTGTTTACCATGAGAGATTCATTATCAGTACTCCTCTTTTAAAACCTGTGCTGTATATCTTACTTGATGAATGTACCAGGTATAAAATAATCAAGTTCAGATTGTCATCATATTTGCTTTCTGTGTGAGTCTTAGAACAATCAGACAATTTTCTGTTCAAATAATGGGCAATTATTTATACTGAGCAATTTATACACTGTCTAGAAAGAACTTGGTTATAAATAACAGAAAACTTAACAAAGGGAGGGCACACATCATCATGTAAGAAGGAGTAGAAAATGATTACCATAATTTTAATTTATTTTTATAGTTCTCCGGAGATGTTTCCCTGACTTCTCTACTAAAAATGGCACTTTGACAGTAGGAAATAAGACAGCATTCGAAGATGGGAATGGAAAGACAAGAAGTGCTACGGAACTCAAGGCAGCTGCAAAGTACGTTTCTTTACGTTTTCGTTTGCAGTCTCGATGCATGCCATGATTGTACCCAAGACTAAAGCTTCCACTGGGTTAAAGGCCTTACCAGAAGAATTACGTATTATGAAATATGCGTGTCACTGTGGATTGGGGAGCTTGGCATGTATTCATTAAGAAAAGCATCTAAAGGTGAAACCAGAAGAATTAGAAAGAACAATCATGATTTTCAAAATGGTTAAATCTTTCATTGTCATCAGGTATAGAAATGAGACAGGAAATGTACTAAAAGACCATTATATAACTTACTTTTTGAATGAACATNTTATAGAAATGAGACAGCAGGAAATGTACTAAAAGACCATTATATAACTTACTTTTTGAATGAACATAATTTTTAAAAAAACTTATGCTTTTGACAGGACCATTTAAAAAATATGACTAAAATAATGAAACTGCCAGATGTTTTAAAGACAAAGGGCGGGCAACTGTGACAATGCTGTTTCAGTACCGTATCAGATTTCTAATATTAACTACAATGAAGTGAATTTACTCTTTCCATTGGCTGTGCACATCATGGTATTCCACATTACTGGGAAACAGGATTCCCAGGGTGCACACACACATGTGTGCACAAACATGCACGTGCACATGCACAGTATCATTGCATTGCTCAGCTGTTGAATGAAAAATGAAAAATACATGTATTCTAAAATTTAACTTCTCTTTCTTGAAAGACTTTAGCAGTCCTAATAGTATAGTACAGTTCTTGCATATTGAGAACATAATAGTAACATGGACAGATTTCACATCTATAAAGCTATGTGAAATAATGTAAGCACACTTCCATTAATAAAAGAAAATTTTAAAACAAGCACCACTGAATTAACTTACCCTGTGATGCATATGTAAGAGGTAAAATGAAAAAGAAAACTAGGAAATAATGATCACAAAAGTCAGGACTGTGGTTGCTTTAGGGGGAAAGGGAGGTATTGTCTTTGGGACACACTGGAAAAGGGATGACATGACTATAGTTAATTACGTGTGCTTAATTTGATCACCATCAAGCTGGACACTAATGATTTGTGCACTTTTCTGTATGTGCCCCATTGTACCTCCCTGCTATTGAGCTGTCAGAGTTTGAGGAAGGTGAATTAAAGATGATGGTTATTCTTGACTCTATGGATTTTGTAAGTTAAAAGCTGATCTTTACATTTAAATTCATTTCATATAGTGAGGCTTCTGAAATATTGTCACGTATGTTCAAAAGGATCTGTTCAGCATTTTTGAAAGCCATGTTCTCTGTGTGTGTAGATATGGGCACCTTTGGAGGTTCACCCAGGTGACATCTCATGAATTGTTGTGTCTAGGAAAAGAGTCCCTACTGATAAATAGTTTCTAAAAATATGCTTTGAACAGCAGCTTGCAAAATTCCTTTTATCATAACAAGAACGTGTCTGTTTATTGATAGTCAAGAAATAATTGATTGTTTTTTCTTCTTTGAATTCAGAAATATCAATAGAGTCCTTCATGCAAAGGCAATTGGAATCAAAGTGTTTGAAGACTATGCAACAACTTGGTATTGGATTCTCATGTAAGTGAAAACATCGATTTTTTCCCCCCAGCCCCATTCTGATTTTACCTTGGCAGAACTCTTTTTCTTCAGATTCCCTATATATTCGTGAATTCAAGGTTAACTCAGATCTCAGTTCCTTACATTTTGTTTTTCATATAGAATAAAAATGGGACAAATATTTGGAAGTATGCCCAGTGTTAACAGCAAGTTATGGGTATAAATTTTAATTATACTCATTAAAATACTCATAAACATATACTTCAAATTATGTGGGGCGTGTCTGTGGTATGTTTGCTTCTCATTACATGTTAGAGTGGATGAAGTGTAATTTCTCTGGCCCGTTTTCTCATTTTTCCTTCCTTGACTTCCAAGGGATCATTTTTAACACATCTCTTCCACATCTTGTTTGTTACCATCATATCCACAAAGGTCACTGTACTTATGAGGAGCTGAAAAAATATATGAAGAGAAGAGGAAATTTAAAGTTTTTCAAACATAAGATTTGCAGTACTGAAAATGCAGTCACACCGCTGGAGTGGGTACATGTGTTTGGTATATCCAAGGATACCATTACTATCTGGCTGTTGTGTCACATTCTTATGTCTTAAAAACATCTATGTTCCCTACTGACCAAAAAATAAAGTGAAAACTTCTTTAGATACTTATAAGACCATTTATAACCTAGCCCAACTTAATTTCCCAGATTCATCTCTGCGTGGGTGTTTTGATTAACCTTATACTCTAAACGCATTAAATAGCATGCCCATCCCTAGACGGCCAAACTCCATGTTTCTGCACATTCTGTTCTTTCCTAGCATTATTGTTCCTCGTGCCCTAGGCAACTTTATCTCATTATTTAAAATCAGCTTTTATGCCATTTATGAAGACTTACTTGACTTCTGCAGATATAATTACTTCCCCCTCTGTGTGCCTCATCCCCATTGTGTGTGTGTGTTTATACACATACACATACATAGCTATCTTCTATATAGCACCTACCTTTTTGTGATTTGTTACTTGGCTCTTTCTCTCTGATAAACTATGAACTCTTTACCATGGTAATTATATCTAACTCATTTTTATATTTCTAACTTCTATTATGGTTCTTCAAACATAGAAGATTCATTGAAAATGTCAGTTCAAGCAACATTTATAAAAAAACTCTAGGGGAACAAATAGATATGTTTAACTATAAGATGCTTGATAAAGACAAATCAGATTGTGTATCAAGTACTAGTGAGTAATTTTTAGATCTACAAAATAAAGTTTATGAGATTTTATTCATTTCAATGCTTTGTGTTAAACAATTGCAGTAATTATTGTCAGAGAATATCAGGATTTCAGGATGCATCTTCACAGCAGAGATTATAATCTATACTTGACAGATTATAGTCTAAACTGGTTCACCTATTGTCAGACCCAAATGCCACTAGATAATTTCCTTGTTTCTTCTTTCACTTTGGCTTTTCCACTCTCTTGCCCTCCTAACTCCCAACACATACACTGGAACCCTCTTCCCCACCTGGCACCACTCCTACCATAGAACATGAGTGCCTCCCTTTAGTTTCAACTCTTCTGTTCTCATTTATTTAATGACTATAAAGCCAAAGTCTGATATGCTTCGACTTAGTTTATTCAGTTAGATTTTTATGCAGGAATTTAAAACACACAGAATAAATATCATATTTATTTTTCCCACTCTGACCTTTTTGAATATTGCCCTTGGACTATGCCACAGAATAATCTTTTAATCATATCAAGTAGTGAAGCATTAAAGTATCCGTGGTTTTTAAAAGGAAATAGCTTTGGAAGTTAAAAGCGTAGGTTCTACAAGACTAGGACCTGAGAAGCTACTTTGAGACCATGCTGTTATCTATTCAGTGACAGTAATTATTAAGATTTTGTTTGTAAAGGTAACACTTGGAGACAATAAAGTCAGTTAATGTACCAGGCTTTATCTGTTGCTACATTTGGAAACTTTCAGATAACACCAGAAGAGTCAGTCCTTAACAGAAGCATTAGCTAAATTTCTAATCTTAACCAGTTAAGATTTGAAATTAACCTGGGTATGTTGGAAAAGAAGCATCTCTACTAGCTCACTCAAACTCCAGGAAGAAATTAAAACAGAGGGAAATTAGTCATGTTGTTGATTGCTTGATAAAATCACATGGCCCAGGTGACCTAGAAGCCTTATGATGGCTCCCAATAGTGGCCTACAGATCCTGTCTGGTGATGTCAGACATGACAAACTATTAGAGATAATTAGATCATAGTGATGATGACTACAAAATCAAGACTTCAGGAGCTATGTGGGGCAGTTATTTTTTCTGTCTTTCTGTCCTGAAGCTCTTTCCTTACTGCTAGACAGTTATATTTCAGAAGGTTTCCATTAGTCACCAGGTAGATAGAACAGTACAATGGGTGGGGGGGTGTGAAGGAAAAAATACAGAACATGGCAACTGTAGCAGATAGGCCAGAATTGTGGGCTGGAGTAATTATGTTTTTTCGTGAACAATGATTGATACTGAGCTTCAGTTTACCTAGTCATTGGAAGATGAGTCATGTATAAATTCCTGATGGTCTTACTCTTTCATACAAAGTCTTAACAGAGACCATTGTTTGTGCTTTCTAATGTTATAAATTTTTCTATAGCTAGGTAAAAGAAAATGATCTGAGAATTATTTTGAATAGGAAAAAATGTGTTGTCTTGCTGTTTTCATTAAGCTATGTGTAGCACACTTCACCCTGTGTTTGTTTTGTGTTTTTTCCACTAGTGCCCTGACAATTGCCATGCTCCTCAGTTGGATGTTTCTGCTACTCCTGAGGTTCATAGCTGGGTTCCTCTTCTGGCTCTTCGTATTGGGTGTCATTGGAATTATAGGTTTTGGTAGGTATCACCTCTCTTAAAATTGTCAAATATCAAATTTACCTTTTCCTTTTCAGTTGCCATTATCAATTACCAGAAAGCACTTTCTTGCAGTTCATTTAATTATTCTTTGCTCCCAATCCTTAAAAGTGTGAAATTGAGAAAAGTTACTTAATTTTGCATATATTGTCCCTATTACTTTTTTCTTCTTTATATGGAAAAAAAGTGTTTCAACACGTTCTACTCTTTTTCGCTAGCAGTCTTTGGTGTCATGTCTCATGAGTATTAAGAAGGAAGTAAAAAGAATATCTCTTAGGTTAATGAAAAATATTTCAGACAATGTCTTTTATTCTTCTAACTTTTCTATTTCATCAAAGTCTTCGTCTGCATAGTTACAGAAATGTGACCTATTTTTCTCTTTCCATTTAGTACATTTAATCCAAGTACCGTCACACACTCTAATAATTGGCCAGTACTCCATCATGAGGCATCACCCTCTGCAGGGGTGGGGAATGCCAGGCCCATGGGCCAAAATCATTGGGTCTGGCCCTGCCAAGGCAACCGCAGGCAGGACTCGAAATTCAATAGATCTAGGAGCTTTTTTCGTAGCTAATTTTTAAGTCGATAATTTCGTATGGCCCCCGAATGATGTTATAAATATCCAAATGGCCTTGGCAGAAAAAAGGTTCCCCACCCCTGTGAGGCAGGCATCCTGAATTAAACTTATTAGATGAAGAGTTAGCTTTATTTCAAGGTTGAAATCTAACCAACTCGCTCCTCCCCAAAAGCAGTACAGGTACCATGTGAACACTAAAAAGGGAATTAAAGTCTCTTCCAAAGAACAGTATAGCATTTATGACAGCTTCCTTTCAATCCATGGGCCAATATATGAGTGCTTGAGAGGTTTCTATCCAAAGGAATGATTTCCCCTACAGCATCATTTGGATTGCAATGCAGTTTAAGGCAGCAGACACCAAAAATAACAATTTCCTATTTCTGTCACTCAAAGAAGAAGAGCTTTACACATGTCAGTATAAGAATGCAGCTGAATCCCCAGGTTCTATAGTTAGCCTGAGCTCTTTTTTTTTTTTTTTGACCCTCACCCGGGGATATTTTTTCCATTGTTGTTTAGAGAGAGTGGGAGGGAGAGAGAGAGAGAGAAACATCGATACGAGAGAGACACATCAATTGGTTGCCTCCCGCACATGCCTGTGCAGCTGAGGCGCATGCCCTGCACTGGAATCAAACCTGAGCCCCTTCAGTCCATGGGCCAGCGCTCTAACCACTGAGCAACTGGCTCGGGCTAGCCTGACTTCTAACCCCAGCTCCATAAAGTAAAGCTGGAGAACTTGAGGAAAGTTTCTTAATGCTTGTAAGACCCAGTTTCCTTACCCATCATTACAGTAACGATACCTCAGATTCACAGGACTGTGAGGATTAAATGAGACAGTGAGGATCAAGCTTTAGAACAGTGCTTGGAGCAGAGTAAGACTCTGTATTGGACTGCTGCTGTTATCCATCCTCAGCGAGTTTCTAGACAAGCATTTGGGGCTCTTTAGGTGTTTTTTATTTGTCCCTGCTATGCAGCTTCCCATGAAAAGGTGGGTCAGTGTGATGAAAGACCTGCTGTCCCTTAATCAAAAACTCCCAAGAAAGCCTTTTATTTAAAAGCCTTTTTTGTGTTTCTGTTTGGAGCTCAAAATAACCTCTGCTCTTTGCCAACATAGAGTCTGAGCATGTGATTCAATCACTCTTATTATTATCAGGAAGTGAAGACCAGTAGTTTGCTATTGATTTCACTGACTTGTCTTGAAGAGCAAGAAAAATCTGAAATTGGCTATGGTCCAAGTTTTACAATGGCAAAAGAGAGAAAGATGGTCAATATATAAAAAGTGCAGGTAAAACAACCACTGTTAGCTCTCTATCGACTCCCTAGGTAGTGCTAACGCAGCAATTAATGGTGTGGCAAGTTAGCTTGAAGCTATGCATTGGGTGGAGAAATGTCCGGCTAGATTGGGAAGTGTAAGTAAGACAGTATGTAACTGACATCTGCTACTGTCTTGGAAGATTGACTGTCAATATATCACAGGAAACCAACCATTTCCTACTGACAGCAGCCTATTTACTGGGGCAGAGAACAATGTGGATGTGTCATACTGACCAGAGAAAAAACCATGCTATTTGTGGGCAAGAGCCCACAAATAGCAGTGGAACAATTCTCATTGACCAGAACAAGTTAAGAATTACACAGGAGAGGCCATAAAACACCATGGTTACAAGCATTGATTTGGAGATTGAAAAAGACACAATTCTAGATTTATTTCATGTTAACTACATGATCTGCTGCAAGTACACAGTCTCCGTAATTTGTAGTTTTCAAAACTATATAATAGGAATCTTTATTAAATAAATAATGTGCATAAAGTACTTAGAAAACTGCCTAGCACATACTAATTGTTCAGTAAATAATATCTATTGTTGTTATTATGCATGAATATTATCGAAGAGGAGTTGAAGCCCAGGGATCATACCTTAAAAAGAGAGAGAGTGAGAGATAAAGCAATAGAAAAATAAATAGGAAAATGCTGCTGAGACTTTCACATCTACCATTATGCAGGAACTAAATAGTCTGAAGGGCTCTCTTGCTATGAAATAATGGAATAAAAATAATATTATATTGTTTTATATAATGTATTGTTTTGATGAGCTTATGGGAAATCCCCCTAAAGAAAAAAAATTAAACTCATGAGCTAAAAAATATGGGGAACTGAGCAGGAAGCACATGTGAAATGCTGGATATCTCATACCAGTGGGACTGTAAATCAGGAGACTGAGACCAGAGATAGGAGCAGAGTAGGGGATCAGACCTGAAACTCCTTGAGTAAGTCTTGGATCCTGGGAAACATCTAAAGTGACCCCAGTTGGGTAGTACCCTTTGGCTGCCAACAGAAACAAAATAATTCCCCTCTAGATGAAAACATCTTCAATTTAGATCACCAGGTTTCTGCAGATTAAAATGAACATAGTATGAGTCATAATCAAAGATTATCAAACATGCAGGGAAATGATCTTTTGTGAGAAAAAACTTAAAACATAGTTAAAAATTATAAACTATAATTTCTTAAAGACCTTTCTTGAGATCTCGAAGAAATTGGATATGGGAATTAGCAGATATCAAATATAAAGTAACCATGTATAAAATGTTTAAGAATTAAGAATAGAATTTTTAAAAATAAGAAATCATCAGAAGTGTTCAGGCATATATGAAGATGAACTAAGAACTTTCAAAATAAAAAAATTAATTGTTAGATTAAAATTTAATTGATAAGTTAAATAGAAAATGAGAGAATTAACAGACTGAAAGATGAATCTGAATTACTCAAAATAAAGCAGAATATGACATGGGGACAAAATATGATCATGTGGTTAAGAGACATAGATAATAGTTTGAGTAGGGCCTAACATATATCAGTCATATTTGAAAGTTATGGGATGAGAAATTTCTAGAACTGATGAAAGATAGTAATTTATAGATACAGGAAGCTCTTAATTGTACCAAGGAAGGTAAGGGAAGAGACATCCATGTCTAGTAGTACATTCTTTTATTTATTCATTCAACAAATATCAATTGAGCAGCTACAGTGTACAGGCACCATTCTAAGCTTTTGAGATAGAACAGTAAACAGACAAGGGTTCTTGCTCTCCTGATGCTTACAGCTTAAGTGACTTATCTATTAGAAAGTGATATTTGCTATGGGAAAAAAAAAAGTAGAACAGGTAAAGAGGGTTTAGAGTATCATGATGAGGTAAAGAGTACAAATAGGAATATTAGTAGGGTAGGATTTTTGAAAAGAGATCTGAGAAAACCCCTGAAGGAGGCAATGGAATTAGCCATTGGAGGTAAGGGGAACGTTCCAGATAGTGAGTACAAGTAGAGCAAAGGACCAAAGATAGGAGTGTGTTAAAGAAATGGCTAGAAGGCTGGTGTGGATGGATGTACTAAGTGAAGGGGAGAATAGTAGGAGATGAAGTCATAGAATTTTTGGAAGACCAGAGACTTACAGATTATTGCGAGATCTTGCCTTTTGCTCTGAGTGAAATAAGGAGGCATTATGAGGTTTTGAGCAGAAAAGGGGTGTGAAGTGATGATCACTGTAGTCCTTGAGTTGAGAAGAGACGGTAGTGAGACAAGAGAAGAGCAAGACCAGTGATGAGGCTATTGCAGTAATCCATGTGCCAAATTGGGGAAGCTCAGGTCACGTTTTTAACGTAGAACCAACTGAATTTCCTGATGGATTGAATACAGCTCATGAGAGAAAATGGGGAGTCGAGAATGACTTCAAAATTTTCAACTTGAGAACTGGAAAGATAGAGTTGCCATCAACAGATAGAGAAGGTTTGAGTGTAACAAGCTTGGTGTAGAAAGGGAATTGATCAGAAGTTTAATTTTGAACATGTTGAGTTTGAGATGTTTATTATGCATTGAAGTGGAGACATCAAGTAGGCAGTTGGATATTCAGTCAGAACTTAGGAGTCAGGAGCATTTCTCCCAATTTAGTTGGGAGAAGAGCAACATGTTTATATATTGTTTGGGATGATCTACTAGAAAACAAGATATTAATGATGTAGGAGGAAGAAATTGTTATGAAACTTCAGAATACCAATAACCTAAAGATTTTAAAAAGAACAGGAGAGAAAAGGCAGATTACATACAAAGAAACAACTAGGCTGAAGCAGACTTTTCAACAGCAGCAAAAGAAGTGAAATAATACTTCAAAGAGCTAAGAAAAAAAACCTGTTAACCTAAAGCTATACACCCAGCAAAACTATCTTTTAAGAATGAGAGTAATATAAGGATATTTTAAGATAAGTAAAAACCAGGATTTATAAATAGACATATATATTAAAGGAAATCTTAAAGGATATATTTCAAGAAGGAAAATGATTCCACACACACAAAAAAATGACATGAAAGGAAGAATTATGATCAAAGAAAATGAATTGGTAAATGCATAAGTAAATTTAAATAAACTTTAATAATAAAGTTATTATTAATATTAAAGTTAATAATACTAAATTGATAATATTCAATTTTTTGAGGTCTAAATATACATAAGTAAAATACTGAGCAATAGAGTGAGGTGATTATTGAATGATCTAAGGTCTTTGTATTTTTTTGTTAACTTTAAACTGGTTATTAAGTACACATAGCAAGTTTTCAAGGTGTAATATATTTTAATAATAGATATCTCCAAACTAATAGAGGGAAAAAATAGAAGTAAACAAATAAACAAAAACTTACCATTTTTAAAAGACAAAAATTGGAAGAAAAGAAGTGTAGGCACAATGTGGAACAGAAAAAGCAAAAAATAAGTAGATAGAAACAAAAATAAAGATATCAGTATATTAAATACAAATGTATTAAACTCACCAATTAGACTACAGAGATTTGCAAGCCAGATTAAAATATATATATACAAGTTGGAACTGTATGTTACTTATAAAAGTTACACAACACCTGAGGAAATGGACAATTAAGACATAAATAAAAACATATTAGTAATCATTAACAGAGAAAGCTGCAGTAGCCATAATAATATCAGACACAATGGATTTTAGAATAAAAAGCATTATTAGTTATAAAAAGGATTCAATTTACTAAAAATGTATACCAATTCTAAACATGTATACATCAAATAAAATAGCCTCAAAATTTATAGAACTACACAAATGAATAAATAAACCAATAAATAATAAATCTGTATGAGATATAAATCTTCCTTAAGAGGGAAATTTCAGCACATTTTTCTGTTAAAATAGAATAATAGAATCATAAACACAAAATTTAGAATAATTGCTCTTTTTCAGAAAGAGGCAAGAAGGTGTGGTAGAATGAAGACATCGGCATATTATAAAAAATTCAATTTGCTTAATTAGAGCAAAATTGAGATTATAAAATCTTAAGCTTGGTGCTTCATTCATATGTGTTCATTTTACCTTATGCTTTAAAAACAACTTCTGTATTACATATAATTTTGTATGTGTCAAGTATTTCATAAACTATTTTTTAAAGGAAAATTTAAAAATACACTAGGAAAGCAGAGCCTGAAAGAAAGAGATTTGTCACATCTCTTTGAAAAGCAAATGTCTTGTCTAGTCTTGTCTCTCTTCATGGACTTCACATTCACTTTATATCTACAAAAAAAACCCCGTAACAACAACAAAAAAACTTGTTAGTTTACAATTAGGGGTTTAAAAAGCTGTTTGTTTTTTTCATTATTGCTGGAACATTTCCAATAAACCTAATCCAGGCCCATTGGCCATTCAAATTAATAGACCTCTTAACTCTATTTTTTTACTAGCACTTTATCTTGACCGTGTAAGAAGTCAGTATATAGCTTGAAATATAGAGTTTGGGGAAAAATACAGTTCGTCCATATTTGTCTTGCCTAGACACAGACTTTGATAATATGCTTTAGGTAATTCCACCAAGACATGACTTCACCATCAAAAATATTTAAAATGGGTTTTTTTGCAATTTAAATGAATTTTTAAATTTGCTTTTTAAAAGTTGATTATATATTCAAGTGCTTCTAATTTCAAAAGATGTGAAGTTTATACAGTGAAACTTTTCCTTCTCATTCTATCCCATGGTCACTAAGTTTCCCTTCCCGCAAGTAAAAAATATTATATTTCTGTGTGTCCTTCCAGAGATACTTTATGTGTGTGCAAGAAAATGTATGTAAAGATTGTTCTTACTATACAAATTGCAGCATACATTTTGCTACTTTGGACCTTGGTCTTTTCATCTAACAAAAGATCATAGAAATTATTTAATATCACTAGACTTTCTCCTCTTTATATGGAAATATAGTGTTCTACTGTATAAGGATACCGTAACTTATTTAACCAGTCCCTACTGCTGGACATTAAGGTGGTTTCTAGTCAAAAGGACATTTAAAGCCAAATGTTGCCAGTCATCCAGATAAATACTGAAAACGTTTATATTGAATATAACAGCACATGTAGACTATTAGACCAACATAATACATTTACTATGTAAATATGAATCTTGCCTTTGTAGAAATGACCATGCTGATCAAATACATGTAGATATGTGTGATAAGCGCATGACTTATATTTCAGAAAATAACATTTTATATTAGTCTGGTTTTCTTTCCTTTTCAAGGAATATGGCACTGTTACCAGGAGTACAGCAACCTTCAGGAACTCCCAAATTCTCACTTAAAGATATATGACCTCGGGATACAGACTGATATACGCATGTACTTTGAACTGAGACAAACATGGCTCATATTTAGTGAGTGGATTTTAAAAACTGGTTTGTTAAAATTGTAATAATGAGAGAGCATCTTTTTGTCTAAAGGAAAGCTTGGGTTGGTGTAACCCGTTAAGCACACTTATTGTTAATATCATTAAAGTAAATGTGCTTATAATGTTACCAGCTATAGTAAATGGAAACTCATTGAATGGAGTTTATTATATAATCTAAGAAAACATTATTTTACAATGGTTCCAAGCTTTTTGCCTTTAAAATCTTTTGGATGTGGATCTTTGTAGCCATTAACCCGATATCCAAAGAAGGTGTTTTAAAGGGGGAAAAAATGCTTGATTTTTCAAACTTGTTTAAAAAGAAAAAATAAGAAATAATTTTTATAACAGGAATTTTAAACTATTTATTATAGGAATTGGAATAATAAGTAACTAAAAATACATTTCTATTTTGAACTATTTATTCAGATTATCAAATTACTTAAGGGTAATAGTAACAAAATTTTTAAAGTGAGATGATTTCAGAGATGGCTTTAAACCTATATTCCTAGAATGATTGTTTTATACTATTCCTTGCACTTCACAGAGATTGATGTTCTTTCATCAAGATTTAAAAAATAATCTCTAACGACATGTTGCTTTAAAAGAGAATTCATCTTCATATTGTTGAAGTTTGAAAGCCAGGCAAGACATGTTCAAATAAGTCTCACGTGATGTCGCCAGAGGGCCATTTTATTTTTTTACACTATTAGGTTTACACTATCGGATACACTACTTATTTTACACTCTTCCCTGACCAGGATGCAGATATAGCCTGTCTAAGACATTGCTTTCCTGGGTTCAAAACCTATGGGGACCGAGATTGCTAATGAGAAGCTTTATTAGCAGAGGACCTCAGATGGTTTCGAGATGCTTTCTTCAGGCTGATGCCGAGTTGATGACCTAGCCTCGCTGCACAGAACCCCCACCAGATTCCTTTGTCTATTAAATGGAGTTGTTCTCCTTTCCTTGGACAGTCCTGGATCAGAACACCAAGTCCTTGCTCTTAGGCTTCCCATTTCTAGCTCTCATCAGGTTAGTTTTCTTCATATAACAAACACATTATTTCTTTCAACTATGTTGCAGAAGAACTCTTTCATTTATAGCCATTTTTAACTATAAAAATCAGACATCTTGGGACTTGCATCCTAATCTCACTTCATGAATTTGAAGTGGTTTCATATGTCTTCAGCAGTCCACTTACTGTTAGCTGTCATTTCTGAATATGACAACTCTCATCTATGACGTACTGACAAGTCTAGTCTTTCAGATGATTCTGAGTTACAGGTTCTGTGGCCATCCCGCTGCTGTCACTTAAGGACCTTCAACACAGACATCATTGAGATGATCAGAATCTGCTATTGGAAAATTAAGAGATGTACTTTGAGGAAAATACAGAGCTTGCTTTCATTTTCAAGTCTAGAAATACTAATTTTTCCTTAAATGAGCCTCAGCTTTCAGAGCCCATTTTTCAGACATTAATTGATTACTTGCACTGTGTTTGGACAAAATTCTAGGGGCCAGAGACAAGTGCATACATGTGATTACACAAATTCACAGAAACACTGAAAGTAAGCACAGTTATACATACACTAATATAATTTTTATGAGTCTTAGATTGTGTTAGGAGATGGTTGTATTCTCATTTCCACTCTTAATTATCCCAGTCTTCTCCTCTGTGAAGCTATAGTCAATACCATAGGGTCTATAGGGTCTCAAAAATATATATGCTTCTATTATTTGTTCTTATTTAGACAACAAGAAAGGAATGTAATGTATAAATTCAAAAGACAGTTAAATTTCTCTAATATAACCATTTTGAACATGTAATTTTATAAAGGTAGAAGTTTAATATGCTATGTTCTTATCAATGCCATGTCAGAATATAAAGCAATTTTGGTATATCTCATATTCTAGGTTTGTCCAAAGAAGATAATGATTTTAGCTTATTATAGCTATACTCCACAATTTTGAGCTCATTTTCATGTTTTAAGAGAATCAAACGTGCATGAAAACATCAACATAGTTTAACTTAAAAAAGAGATATAATAGCAGAATGATACTTTACTAAGATCTTCCCACATCTCTGGTTTAACTGATTTTTACCTACTTGGAAATAGTAAATGATGTGTGATGTAACATCAGAGTCTTAGTGGTATAAGAATATGAAAATAATGAGCACCCTATCAGTGGAGGTGTTCACACATCAGCAGAATACTCTGTAAGAAGCATGTTATGGAATGGATTCTTCCACAGGTGGAAATTTGGTTAACTTGCCATTAAGTTTCCTTTGTAATTTCAGAATGTTATTAGCAGTGATATATTTCCTTAATGTTAAGATCATATTTTTTTCACTTGTTAACATCTCTGAAGTCAGTATGCATCTTATAATTAATGAATAGATATTTAATGAAGGGTATCTTTACTTTTCCTAAAAAGATATTAGTAAATTAGTATGCTTTAGAATTGAGGAAATATAGTAACTAGGACTATTTGGCTTCAAGTAAAAAGAAACTAATTCAAGCTAGCTGAAAATAAAATAAAATTGGAGCAAGCTGGGGCTAAGGCAGAGGTATTTTTATAAGAATATACAAGGGTCTCACCAAACTAAAAAACAGAAACATGATTTCAAATGTAGATAGATTCAAGAAGCATAATCCAAAAAGAACCCAAGATTTCCTCTCCTTGCTCTCTTGCTCCCTTTATACACACACTTTATCTTCTTTGCAGATGTGTTTACTTCTCATGAAGATAATTTTGACGCAGTTCATTAAGTTTGTACCACTCTTAGTTCAAGAGCTTTATAAGCTTTAACTCAAAACTGACCTAGAATACCTTAGTTCTATTTCTGAGACTTTTCTTAGACAACTTGGGCTGTGTTTAAGCCCTGATACCATCAACAGTGGCCATGATGATGGTCACAGAATAAAAATGTGGGCAGCCGAGAGCCTGACGTGTAAATCAGCAAGGTCAATTAATTAAGAGGCATTGTGAGCAGAGCAGTTTCTTCTGTAATGATTCTCTTACTCAGTGAGGTGAAAGTGAAACATTTAAGAGCTGCCTAAAGCAGCCCTTCCTTCCTTACATGCCTGTTTTCCCATTTCTACAAATGGCTGAAATATTTCCATAGATAAAACCTGTCCAGCTGAGTTGTTCAAGCTTTAGCTAGAGGTTTTCATCTAGATTTCTTAGCATTTCTTGAGGGTTTTGAAAGTGAATTTCTAAGATTGCCTGAAACTACAACGTGTTGTAATTGGCAGAAATAACCATGAAGCTTAGTCCTAACTTTGGCAGAGGAAGTTTGTTTTTTTGAACTGATGTGTATCACACACTAATTTCTTTTTCTGTTTAAAGTGATAATCCTCTCCGTCCTTGAAGTGCTTGTCATCCTCATGCTGATCTTCCTTAGGACCCGAATCCGCATCTCCATTGCCCTGCTGAAGGAAGGGAGCAAGTAAGGCCCCGATGGAAAACCTCACCCCGTGTGTATCCGTCAGTCCAGTCAGTCACTGCCTATTGTGTAGCTGCCCCGGGCTATTTTTCCTTTAAGAAGTCTTGCTAAAAAAATCTGCTTTCCCTTCAAGAAGACTTATCCAAGTTTAGACTGCCACTTATTAAAAAGGTCATGTTAACATGTCCTTCAATATCCCTAAAACCTCCATTATCATAAGGTTAAAACCTGTCTAGTCTACCTATTAGCACTTTTTTTAAAACACCAAATGTATGTTAGGTGAGTAGTGTATGTTAAAGTAATAAAGTGCTATATAAAAGTTAATTATCTTGCATGATGTATTATTCCCATACTGAGTCATATTAATGGTTGAGATCATTTGCAGAACTTTAAACCACCATAATTCTATAAAGTCAATTACATACTATTACCATTTCTGTATGAATGACAAAATTTGCCAATATAAAGAATAATTGATCCTAGCAGTAGCGGACTATATATTTTGTATCTAAAGCTCTTAATGCAGAAACACTTTATACCCAGAGCCAATTTTATTTTTAAAAAATGCTATAAAATAAACACTAAGTTTTTCATAAATTCATGCTGGAGGTTAATAACACCTACAGTTTCCAAACTATTCCAAAAAGTCACTTGAGGATAATACTTTAAACTTTTGAATGATGCATGGAAGAAACTAAGAAAGCATTATTGTAAAGCCAACAAACCATACTCTCTATTTACAATGATGGAAACTTGGTTGTTATTTTAAGTACTCTTTAAGGATTATTTTAACAAAATTGTCATCTATAATATAATAATGCTACCTGAGGCCTATGGTTTAAATGGTTAACAAGCAGTTTGTTGAATTAAACTCTGTCTCCTTCCCACAATAATGGAAGCCCTATCATTAGCCACTGAAAACTACTGACTTGCTGTATTTTTAAAATAATATGATATTGTGCAATTTACTGTAACTTGCCCTACTTTATGCCTCTAAATGCGTATATGAGTGTGTGTATGTGCATATATACGTGTGTGCATGTGTGTGTATATGTGTGTGTGTTAAAGGGCCAATACAACTGTCACAGGTTGATAGTTTGCTCAAGGGAAAATAAGAGTTGGAATAAATGGGTGCGAGAACACAGTAAACAGATAGATGCTCAGTAATTCATTCAACTGCAGTATCTGGAGAAAGGAAACAACAGCATAGTTCAAACAATGAAGTGAAGGTAATAAATTTGAAAGGAATCTAAGGCGTGTCAACTCATTAGGAGTGGAAATCATTCCATCGGCGTTCTCGGTGGCTGTATCAAGCAGTACTGGATTTAATTCAGTGTCATATGCTGCAAAGAGCATTCAAAAGCAGCTAGGGACAGGGCAACTAGGATGGGGACCATTTCAAGCCACGTCTTATGAGGAAATGTCAAAGGAATGCTTATCCTGCAGAACAAAAGGATGAGTTACTTGGAAGGGCTGCTGTGTTGAAAAGCTGGTCATTTCTTCTCCAGAAGGTCATGGATCTGAATTACAGGCAGGCAGAGAAGGGAGAATTTTCTAATATGTTGGTAAGAAAGAGAATAAGCTGTGTCATATAAAAGTAAGTTCCTAACAGTGTGGTCACCGGAGGTTTATGAACATATTTTGAAGATAGTACAGCAAAGATTCCTGAATTAGGGAGGGATTCTCACATTTGATGAGATGACCATCAGGGTCCTCTCTAATTATAAAAGTCTAAGAATCTAAACAAAAGGAAGAAATATTATGATTATAATGAATTAAATTTTTATGAATCAGACAGAAATAATCAAAGAGGAGAGAGTTTGGGGAAATCGGAGCAGGAATCAAACATGAGCATTGAAAGAATGTTTCTAACTTACAATCAATCAATCAATCAAATTTAAAAACCAGCTAAGAATATGCCAGCATGATCAGCAAATGAGTCGATGGTTATTACCACTATTCTTAGAAATAATTCAGTCTAAGGCTTATTTCTAGTTCTAACAAATAAGAATTCATTAGAGAAATTATAACACCAGATCATTTTGAACTTCATCTATTTGTTTTATTTCAGAGCCATTGGATATGTCCCTACTACATTAATTTATCCAGTTTTAACTTTCATTTTGCTCTCAATCTGTATTAGCTACTGGGCTGTGATAGCAGTGTATCCTTTGGTAATTTATCTCGTTGAACCTCAGGTCCACCCATTATTCAGGAACCAGGAATTCAGTGATTTTCATCCTGGGAAGATTAAGAACATCTTAAAGAAATAATTGATTATTTTTTCCGCTAAGCTTTAAAAAAGTTTGTCTACTGATTGTATTTCCCCTCATATAAGTCAGATGGTAGATTTCGTTTTATTTTGTCTTCACATATGCTACTTCTCCTTGGCTATAACCTTTAAAAGATCCCATATATTTTACTGATTTTAAGAGGCCGCTCAGTGCAGCTGACCTCTGTGATATTACTCTGGGCCTGAAGAATGGATGAATTATTACAATATTAGGAGTTATTTGAAGTTAATCTCCCAAAGGATTTTTAAGTTACTTTTAAAAATAAGTTATTTTTTCATGTCTATTTATTTTCAACTTACCAGCAAATAATTTATCCTTAATAAAATTTACTCAGTTACTTGGCTACATCAGGGGTGCCCGTATACAAAGTCGTAAACCAGGATGGGCAATGTAAATATGAAAATAAAACCTGTGACCCAGAGGTAAGTAAAAGAAACTCTCTCTTTTATTTAACTTCCATACAGAGCTCTTCTACATTCATCTAGCAGTTGTTAGAATCATCCTGAAGTAGAGAAAGACCCTGTGTATTGATAGGGATCACTATGGAGAAGGGGAGAGTGGATCAGGAGAACACTGAAAACGGTGGGAAAATAGAAAGAAAGCTCTACTATTTCCTGATCTCATTTGTCTTATCAGATACCCAAGAAGCAGGTATTGTTAACAATAGCACTAATACATTGAAACTAAAGGGGTTGAAGAGGGATGAACATAGGATGGAAATGAGATATGCAGGGTGTCCCCAAAAATATATATGCACTTTGAATAATTACTTATTCCAATGGGTTAAATATGAAAAGAAAGAAACGTCAATTGAGCTATCAACTGTTAAGTGTGTATACATTTGTAGGGGGAGGGGGCACTCTGTATTTTCCAGAGCTCATTCAATGATTCTATGAAGTGATATGATTGAAAATAGGAATAACAGCAGAAGCTCACGGAGAAAGCACAGAACATGCCATTGTGGGGGGACAGGAGGCGGGGGGGGGAGCTACAAAAAAGGAGAAGGCAGGGAGGGTGTTTATCTTGGAATAATATTTACTATTGTCCATGTTGTTGTTTTCTGAGTGCAGGTTTTTAACGGAACTGAAATTTCTAAAGCTTGCCCTCATGCTCGGTGTAACTTTGCTTTCTATGGTGGAAACAGCCTGTACCATCAATACGTCACTGTCCTCCAGATATTCAATCTTTTTGTCTTCCTGTGGCTTATAAACTTTGTCATTGCGTTGGGTCAGTGTGCCCTGGCTGGTGCCTTTGCGTCTTATTACTGGGCCTTGAGAAAACCTGATGACATCCCACCACATCCACTTTTTACTGCGTTTGGACGAGCCATACGGTAAGTTCCACGTTGAGCCTTACGTCTACTTTCCAAGTTAGGCTTAATGTGCTTATAATTCAATCTTGTGCTTATCACTCAAGTGGCAAGGTACAAATGAGTTCAAAAGTATGATTCGAGATTCATGTACATTCATTGGCTCTGCCTGGTTTGATAGCCACAACTTTGTACTCCCTACCCAGGCTAGTATTCTTCGAAAAACCATAGGTTACTAGAGTCAAGAAGCAGGGGAGGACACCAAACTGAAGATTAAGGATTAACTTGGCTTTGTCTCTCCATTGCTCAGATCAAATATTCTATTTTATGCTGACAGGATATTGGTATCACTTTTGTAGATGAAGGGCAAAATATGCATGTATGTTTTAAAACTCTCTAGACCTTTATCAATCAGAATAGGAGCGTGTAAGAAGCTCTTTTTTATCAGTTCTCCTGCAGTTCTTTGTACCTATAAATAGTTTAACTAACATGCTTTTAGTTAATAGTAAAGATACTTTAACTTTTATTCTCATTTTATCTTTGCCCAGATATCACACGGGATCCCTTGCATTTGGATCCTTAATTCTTGCATTAATTCAACTGTTTAGGATAACCCTAGAATACTTGGACAAACGTATTAAAGGTAAGATTCCAGAACTCATCTTTTCTCAGGCTTCCTTGCTTCTATGAAGAGAATAGATTGGAGCTGGTGGTTGTAGGAAACATGATGACTGTAACTAGGTTAATAAGGATGGAGGTGGTCAGATTGGAGATATATTCGGAAGAAAAAGCCAACAGGATTTGCTGAAGGATTGGATATGAGAGGGGCCGGGGGAGCGAAGCAGTGGTGAAAAAAAGGGGAGAAAAAGCGTGTGATGCTATTTACTAAGATGTCAAAACCAGGAGAAGCAAATTTCAAAGAAGAGATGAAAAATTGTGTTTTTGACATGCTAATATTTAGAAGCGTGCTGGAGTTGTCAGGCAGTTTCAAGTCTAGAGCTAGGGACAGGTCAGGCTGAAAATACAAATATGTATGTCACAAGCATAAATCTTCAAACATGATACATATGGTTTATAAATATGTAAACTCTGTTTAGAGTGCACTTTAAAATATTATTAATTGCCAAAACAATCTTGAAACAGAACAACAAATTTGGAAGACTTACATTTCCTGATTTTAAAACTTAAAAAAGCTACAGTCATCAAAACAGTGTGGTGCTGGCGTAAGGAAGGACATATGGGTGTGGAGTAGAATAGAGCCCCAAAATAAGCCCTCACATATAAGCCCATTCAGTGGGGTAAGGACAGTTTTTTCAAGTAAAGTTACTAGCAAAACCGGGTATCTATATGCAAAAGAATGATTTTGGACCCTTACCTTAATCATATAAAAAATTGTTTCAAAGTGGATCATAAGCTTAAATATAAAAGTTAAAAGTATAGGGTGGAGGGAGGCAAAGGGTAGGGGTGGAATGGGGGACATCTGCAATAGAGTCAACAATTAAAAACAGCCAAAAGTAAAAAAACTCTTAGAAGAAAGCATAGGAAGAAATCTTCATGACATTAGATTTGATGATTTCTTAGATATGACGACAAAAGAAAAAAACATAAATTAGACTTCATCAGAATGAAAAAGAAAGCATCTAAGGACACTGTCAAGAGAGTGGACAACCCACAGAATGGGAGAAAATATTTGCAAATCATATACTTAGATAAGCACTAATATTTAGAATATACAAAGAACTTCTACAATTCAACGATACACCCAATTCAACATGGGCAAAGGATTTTTTAATTATGTAAAACTTTCTGAGCTTTACTGAGATATAATTGACCAATAAAGTTGTAATATGTGTAAAGTGTACAACGTGATGGTTTGGTACGAATACATTGTAGAAGGATTCCCACATTCAAGGTAATGAACACAGTCATCACTTCACCTCACATATTTACCTTTTTTTTTTTTTTTCTTTTTGGTGAAAACACTCAAGTCCTATTCTCTTAGCAAATTTTAATTCTTTACCACATCATACATTAGACTCTAAGACCTTTATTCATCTTATTACTGAAAGTTTGTACCCTTTCACCACCCTCTCCCTATTTCCTCCACCCCTCAGCCTGCAGCAACCACCATTCTTTTCCATTTATGTGAGTTCAACTTTCTTTTTTATTCCACATGTAAGTGATACCATGCATATTTTTCTTTATCTGGTTTATTTTACTGAGTGTAATGCCCTCCACGTCCATCTCTGTTGTTGCAAAAGAAGGATGTCCTTTTTGAAGGCTGAATAATATTCCATTGTGCATTTATACCACATTTCCTTTAGCCACTGATCTATTAAATGATGTGTAGTTTGTTTCTATACATTGGATATTGTAAATAATGCTGCAGTGAACATGGGAGTACAGATACCTCTCTGAGAGAGTGACTTCATGTCCTTCAGATAGATACAGAGAGTGGAATTGCTAGGTCATGTAGTAGTTCTATTTTTAATTTATAGAGAAACTCCATACTGTTTTCCATAGTGGATGCACCAGTTTACATTCCCACAAACAGGGTACAGGCTTCTCTTTTCTCCACATTCTTGCCAACACATCTCTTGTCTTTTTTGCCGGTAGACGTCCTAACAGGTATGAGGTGATATCTCATTGTTGCTTTGATTTTCATTTTTCTGATGATTAGTAATGCTGACTACCTTCCCATGGACCTATTGGCCTTTTGTATGTCTTCTTTGGAAAAATATCTATTCATGTCCTTTGCCCATTTTTAAATTGGGTTATTTGGGGGGGGGTGGGATTGCTATTGAATTTCAAGTTCTTGTATATTTTGGGTATTAACCTCTTATCATATATGTGGTTTCCAATTTTTTTCCTATTCCATAGGTTGCCTTTTCATATTATTGATGGTTTCTTTTGCTGTGCATAGCTTTTTAGTTTGATGTAGTCCCACGTGTTTATTTTTGCTTTTGTTGACTTTGCTTTTGGTGTCACATTTAAAAAATCATTGGCAGTGCCAATGTCAAAGAGCTTACCCCTATGTTTTCTTCTAGGAGCTTATGGTTTCAGGATTACTTTCAAGTCTTTAATCCATTTTGAGTTGATTATTGTGTATGGTGTAAGATAAGAGTCCAATTTTATTCTTTTGTGTGTGGATATCCACTTTTCCTAGCACCATTTATTGAAGATACCATCTTTTTTGCATTGTATGTTCTTGGCTCCTTTGCCAAAAATTAATTGACCATATATGCACGAATTTATTTCTGCTCTCTCTGTTCTATTCACTGATGCGTCAATTCTTGCATTACTGCCACACTGCTTTGATTACTATTGTTTGAAATCAACAAGTATAATGCCTTTGGCTCTGTTCTTTCTCAATTGCTTTGGCTATTTGGACTCTTTTGTAGTTTCATACAAATTTTAAATTTTTTTTCTATGTCTGTGAAAAATGCTGTTGGAATTTTGATTGCATTGAATTTATGGATTGCTTTGGGTACTATGAACATTTTAACAATGTTAAGTCTTCTAATCCATGAACAAGGAATATTTGTCATTTATTTGTGTCTTCTTCAATTTCTTTCATTAATGGCTTACAGTTTTTGATGCACAGATGTTTCACCTCCTTTTTAAATTTATTCTACCTATTGATTGTTTTTGATGGAATTGTCAATGGAATTATTTTCTTAATTTCTCTTTGCAGCAGTTAGTTGTTAATGTATAGAAATGCAGCTGATTTTTTAATATTGATTTTGTATTCTGAAACTTCACTGAATTTGTTTGTTCTAATAGCTTTTTGATGGAGACAGTAAGGTTTTTTATATATAATGTCATGTGATCTGCAAACAAAGACAAGTTTGCTTCTTCCTTTCTGATTTGAATGCCTTTTTTTTTTTTTTTTTACTTGCCTAATTGTTCTAGCCTGGTTTTCCAATACTGTATTGAATATAAGGGGAGAGAGTGGGTCTCTTTGTCTAGTTCGTTCCTATCTTAGAGGAAAAGCTTTCAGCTTTTCACCATTAAGTATGATGCTAGCTGTGGGCCTTGATTACGGTGAGGCTTATTATAACCAGTCAGTTTGTTAATATTTTGTCAAGGAATTTTACACTTATGTTCATCAGGAATATTGGCCTCTAATTTTCTTTTCTTGTGTCCGTGTCTGGCTTTGGTATTAGGATAATGCTGGCCTCACAAAATAAGTTTGAAAATGTTCCCTGTATTTCTATGTTTTGGGAGAGTTTGAAAACGTTGGTATTAATTCTTCTTTAGAAGTTTGGTAAAATTCACGAGTGAAACAGTCTAATTCTTTCCTTTGTTGGAAGGCTTTTGATTATTGATTCAAATGAAATTTTCTTTTTCTTTATGATTCAGCCTTGGCAGGTTGCATGTTTCTAGGAATTTGTCTATGCCTTCTAGGTATCTGATTTGTCGGTGTGTAATTATTCATAGTAGTCTCATGACTCTTTGTATTTGTGTGGCATTTGTTGTAATGCTTCCTCTTTCATTTCTGTATCTGTCTTTCCCTTTTTTTCCTTAATTAGTCTAGCTGAAGGTTTGTCAGTTTTGTTTACCTTTTCAGAAAATTGGCTGTTCCCTTCACTGATCTTTCCTAACGCCTTTTTATTTTCTATTTCATTTATTTACACTCTGATCTTTACTATTGCCTTTCTTCTACTAACTTTGTGCTTAGTTGTTCTTTTTCTAGTTTCTAGAAGTGTAAAAGATTTTTCAAGATCTTCCTTTTTCTTAGCTTGGGTGTTTATCACTGTGAACTTCCCTCTTAAAACTGCTTTGCTACATTCCATGTTTTCGATACGTTGTGTTTCCATTTTCATTTGTCTCAAGATACTCTTTGATTTCCCTTTTGATTTTTTTCTTTGGCCTGTTGGTTGTTCAGTAGCATGTTGGTGAATTTTCCAGTTTTCTTCTTGTTTCATACCACTGTGGTCAGAAAAGATGCTTTATATGAATTCAGTATTTTTACATTTATTAAGATTTGTTTTGTGGCCTAACATTTGATCTGTCCTGGAGATTATTCCATGTGTGCTTGAGAAAAATGTATATTCAGCTGTGGTAGGATGGAATGCAATGTAAATGTTAAGTTCTTTTGGTCTATGATGTAATTTAAGTCTAATGCTTCCTTTCTGATTTTCTGTGTGGATGATCCATCCATTGTTGAAAGTGGAGTATTGAAATCCCCTACTATTATTATATTACTGTTTATTTCTCCCTTCATAACAGTTTATATTTGATTTATATATTTAGGTGCTCCAATGCTGGCTACATAAATATTTACAATTTTATATCATCTTGATGAATAGACCTCTTATCATTGTATAATGACCTGACTTAAGTATAAATACACCTGCTTTATTATAGTTTCCATTTGCGTGAAAAGTCTTGCTCCAATCTTTTACTTTCACTCTGTGTCTTTAAAGGCGCAGTGAAACTCTTGTAGTAGCAGATGGTTGAGTCTTATTTTTTTTATCCATTCAGCCAGTCTGTAATTTTTTAATTGAAGAATTTAGAAAATTTATATTTAAGTGTAATTCTTGATAGCTATGAACTTGCTATTGCCGTTTTGTTACTTTTTGTGGGGAAGGGAGGGTGTTTGGCTGCTTTATAGACCAATGTGTTTCTCTCTTCCTCTCTTCCTTTGTGATTTGATGATTTTCTGTCGTGGTTGATTCCTTTCTGTTTATCTTTTTGTATCTACTGTAGGTTTTTGGCTTTGTGGTTATCATGAGGCTTACATAAAACATCTTATAGAAATCTAGTTTAAGTTAATAACAACATAACTTCAAACACTTCAAACACATGCAAAAGCTCTACATTTTTACACTTACCATTATATGCTACAATATTTTTGATGTCACAATTTACATATTTTTATACTGTATATTAACAAATTGTATACTTTGTCCTTTAACCTTCATACTAAAGTTGTAAGTAACTTGCCCACCACCATTACAATTTTAGAGTATTCTATTTTAACTATATGTTTTCCTTTACCAGTGAGTTTTATACTTTCATATATTTTCATGTTACTAATTAGCACCCTTTTGTTTCATCTTAAAGAATTCCCTTCCCTTTAACAATTCTTGTAAGGCTGGTCTAGTGGTGATGAATTTAGCTTTTGTTTGTCCAAAATACTCTATCTCTCAATTCAGAAGGTCAAGCAATGCCATGTATTTTCTTGGTTGGCAGTATTTTTCTTTCAGTACTTTAAATATATAATTATGCTTCATTCTGGCCTGCAAAGTTTCTGCCGAACAATCTGCTGATATTCTTATGGGGGTTCCATTATAAGTAACAAGTAGCTTTTCTTCTTTGTCTTTAAATTCCTTTTAACTTTTGAAGATTTAATTTTATGTATCTCAGTGTGAGTCTCTTTAGATTCATCTTTTCTGGTATTCTTTGGGGTTTTTGGATATAGATGTCAGTGTCCCTAGATTGGGCAAGTTTCCAGCCATTATTTCTTTGAATAAGCTTTCTGTTTCTTTTGCCTCATTCTGGGACCTCTAGTACATGTATATTGGTAGCTTGATGGTATCCCTTTAGGTCTTTAAGCTAACGACTCTTTTTACTATTTTTTTCTTTTTGCTTCTCTTATTGAATGAATTCCACTGCCTCATCTTCTAGTTTGTTGATCCTTTCTTTTACTTCATCTAGTCTGATACTGAACCCTTCTATTGAATTTTTCAGCTCAATTATTGTATTCTTCAGCTCTATGAATTCTGCTGGATGCTTTTTTGTATTTTGTATCTCTTTGTTGAAATTCTCACTTTGTTCATACATTGTTCCCCTGACCTCAGTGAGCACTTTAATGACCATTATCTCTGTTTCATTAAGATTAGTTTCAGGAGATTTATCTTGTTATTGTTTGTTTGTTTGAAACTTATTTCCTTGTTAATTTTTTCCTGACTCTCTGTTTTGGTTAATGTGCATTAGGTGAAAAAGCCACCTCTCCCATTATGTCAGACTGGTCTCATATAGGAGATGAACATCATCAATTAGCCCAGCCCAAGCTTCTGGTTCTCTCCAAACTGTAATTGTCCTAGCCACTATAGTTATTCTTGGTGGCTTCCAATAATTGAGGGTGTGCCAAGACCTGTCAGTGTCTCAAACAGGAAAATCACAGGCAAAACCTGGATGCAGGCTGATTAGAAGCCAGACGCTCAGACAGCAGCTAGGAAAACGTGTAGTTTACCCCTTTCGGGGCGAAACTGGGAGAAGGGTGTTTTTGCCTGCTCTCTCTGCACAGAGACAGGGCATATAGCCATGGTGGTGGGAGTGGGGAGGGTGCTCCTGCACCATTTAAAAACTGCTTCTCTGTTTGCTATAGTCCTGAGGAGTCCTGAATGCAGGAGCTGTTGGCTAACAGGGCCAGAAGAACTGGGGACCATCCCTGGAGCAGCAGTCACAAGTGCTGTGGCACCAGGCATGTGTACAAGCAACTTCCAAAGAGATGTTGGTGACTGAGTGCTATAAATGGAGTGACCTAGAGAAAGAAGGTGGAAAAATGCCCACCAGCTTCCCCAGGCTCCATGGAGGATCATAGTTAGCTCCTAAATGCACACCAATTAGAAGCCAGAACCTTGGGCCCCAGGTTATAAAAGATGCATTCAGACCCCCTCCTTAGAAAGACCGGAAAATGGGTGTTTTTGCCTGCTCTCTACGTGCTAAGAACTGGGGGGATAGCCAAAGTAAGTAGTAGCACATGTGCCAGTTAAAAACTGCTTCTTTGCTTTCTGTAGTCCTATGGGACTTGTGAACACAACCCCTATTGGCTTTCAGAGCTAAGCACCCCTTGGGTAGGAACCTTAAAAGTTGGAATCCTAGATGTGCGGTCCAAACCCTTCACTCCTCAGAGAGAAGCTGAAAGCTGGATATATCATCCCCATTGTGTGTTATTGTGTGGGGAGTGGGGTTTATGGGGCAGGGGCCTCAGCCTTTCCCACCCGCATCAGTGTGGGTGTTTTCTTGGTTGATATGCATGAGTCACTGAGCTAGTTTTTGGATTTCTCTCAGGGGAAATTACTCCATGTGTAGCTGTACATTCAGTGCATCTGTGGAAGGAGGGAAGTCCAGGGGCCTCCCGTGTCATCATCTTGGTCTTCCACGAAGGATTTGCACATACATTGCTCCAAACAAGATATACAAATGGCTAATAAGCACATGAAAAGATGTTCAATATTAGTCATTCTGGAAATGCTAATCAAACCTATAAAGAGGTACCACTTCGCATCCCTTAGAATGGCTACTGCAGAAAATGCAATGTAACAAATGTTTGTAGGGTGAAGATCAGTTGGAACCTTTGTCTATTGCTGGTGGAAATGCAAATGGCATAATCACTGTGGAAGACAGTGTGACAATTCCTCAAAAAGTTAAAGTTAGGGTTTCCATATGGTCAGCGATTCCACTTTGAGATCTACATACTCAAAAGAATCAAAAGAGGGAGCTCATACAGACACCTGGACACCAGCGTTCACAGCAGCAGTGTTCACAATGGCCAAAGGGTAGAAACAACCCAGCTTCATTAGCAGATAAAATATAAAGAGAGTGTGACACACACATGCGTGGAATGCTCTTCAACTCTAAAAAGGAATAAAATGATGAACCTTAAAACCTTTATGTTAAGCAATACGAGGTATCTAGAAGAAGCAAATTCATACAGACAGAAAGTATAACAGAGGTAACCAGGGGAGGAAGGGAGATTGAGGAGTTAATTTATGGTGGGTACAGAGTTTCTATTTGATATGATAACAAGTTCTGGAAATGGATAGTGATGGTTGCGCAACACTGAATGTAATTAATGCTATTGGATTATACATATTAAAATGGTTAAAATGGTAAATTTTGTGTGTATTTTACTGCAATTTAAAAAATGTAAAAGCCATTTAAAATGTTTTAATTTATTTTTTTGACTCATAGAGTTTAGTTGCAAATCATTAATAGATATAAATCTCTCCTCATAGATCACCAGAACAATGTTTCCAAATTTCTACAACACTGCCTGAAATGCTGTTTCTGGTGTCTGGAAAAAGTGGTAAAGTTTTTAAACAGAAATGCCTATGTTATGGTAAGTAGATTATTTTTCATTTACTAAACTTCTTTGCCAACCCAAACCCCATGTCTACATTTCCATCTTAAAGCACTTTTACATCTCTTTGGAGAGGGACAATATTATTTACCTTAGAAATTTTTAAATATGCTAGATTAAAAATGATTTTGTGTGTCTTTGACATGGTTTATTGGGAAGAAAGTTTTTACTTAGTCTGTGTCACTCTGAAAGGAAAATATCTTTCTAATTCTGATATATATATATATATATATAGTATATATATATATAGTGTGTGTATACTAAGCCTCACCTGAGGATATTTTTTCCTCATTGATTTTTAGAGAGAGAGGAAGGGAGGGAGGAGGAGGGGAGAGAAAGAAAGAAACATCAACATGAGAGACACACACTGACTGGTTGCCTCCTGCACACGCCCCAACCAGGTCCGGGGATCGAACCTGCAACCGAGGTACTTGCCCTTGACCAGAAATCAAACCCGAGATAGTTTGGTCTGGGAGCCGATGTTCTAACCACTGAGAAAACTGGCCAGGGAGAGATTTATATATTTTAAAGGAAGAGTCTGTTCCCTTTTTTGTGAATCTTATGTTGAAATATGTGGGCATTGACAGTGCCTAACTAAATTTGTTTCTTATTTCCTGTGGGAATATGGAGGCTTCTAAAGAAATTTTTAAATGTAGGGGATCCAAAAATAAAATTCTTCTAAAATTTAGCAACTACAATCTAATGACACTTCCTTATTATCACAGTGGCATAGGGTCTGCAGCAATGATTCAGATAGTCATGGAGATTCAATTAGTCATTAATTTACTTCAGTGAAAATATTGAGGCTTTTAATCAGAAAATCAAGTATATTGAAAGGCATTGGGTTTCTTGAGAGTAATTTTTAACATGAACTCTACAACATTTAACCCATTCAGCAACAAACCCTAGCCAAACACTTCAAAGACAGAAACCATGTCCTGAGATTTGAGAAAGCAACCTACTGTTTGAGGTCGTCTAATCCCCGTAGAGTTTAAGGGAAAAATATAGCCTCTGAAGCAGACCTTATTGTCAACAACCCTGAGAGTTGTGCAGAGTTGAGGACACACAGTTCCCATGCCTCCCACACACCCACATGTCGGAAAGAGGAATGAGAGTAGCTGTATGGGTGACAGAGAATGAATTCATTTGCCTGTCATTGGATTGTCTGTTGCTCTTGTTAGGATTACTGACTCCAGAATAATTGTCTTCCTCAGATTGCAATATACGGCAGAAGCTTCTGCAGGTCAGCAAGAGATGCTTTTGATCTGCTGATAAGAAATATTTTAAAGTAAGTAATCAGGTTGAACACTGCAATAGAAGACTTGCTGACCCTCAAGTACCACATACTTCACATGTTGTAGTTAAAGCACCGGCAGTCATTTTAGACATGAATGTTGTCTTTTAATATGATAGATGTAAATCTTCTTTGTCACATCAATAATTTTTTTCATAGCTTAGAATTGTTGCTTCCATTATTCACTGATGTCTTTCCACCCACTGGAATTTATTTATTTTTATTAGTCCCTCTGCTCAAGAAATTCCTCACATGAACATTATCGTCATATCTCTGAACATTTCCCCCTCCCCAAATTGACAGAGTCTGAGTGAACAAAATCAGAGAACAAATGCAGCATCCTTTGGATCCAGGGTGTTTAGGCCACAAATTAGACAGAGAGGCTGACACCACCAATAACGCCCGACAGCCCTACAATGCCATCTTCTGTTGACTTCATTCAAAATAAGTCAGAACTTTGATTCTTATATTTAACAAATGCCAAATAAAGTGCAGCAAAGAAGCATCAAAATCAACAAATGAATTATTTATTCTCATAAGTTTCAAGTGATACATGTAATTTAAACACACAAAAAATTATGCTTTGTTTTTTCTGATTCTTAGAATTGCAGTGTTGGATAAAGTTACAGAGTTTGTACTAGTCCTGGGGAAAATTCTAGTTTCTGGGTGTATAGGTAAGTAATAACAATAAAAATAATTTAAAAAGTTTATGAAGTATTTTTAAAAATTCCTTTACTACAATAATGCATAATATACATGTTCTGCCTTTTCCTTGTAGGTGTCTTGGGCTTCCTACTCTTCACACAGAGAATCTCAATATTTATAGAAGGATCAACCTCTTTAAATTACTACTGGGTACCTTTGCTGGTAAGAGCTGGTGTCTTGGTCTAGGTGGCTATAACAAAATACCATAGACTGGGTGGCTTAAACAACAGGAATTTATTTTTCACGTACTGAAGGCTGAGAGGTCCAAGATCAGGGTTCCCACAGGTTTGGTTCCTGGTGATGGTTCTGTCCCTGGTTTGCAAAGGGAACCTGCTTGCTGTCTGCTAACACGCTGGAGAGAGATGTTGTAAAGGCACTAATCTTATCCATGAGAGTTCCACCCTCACAGCCTAATTACCTGTCAAATGACTCACCTCCAAATGCCATCACATTGGGGATTAGGTTTCAACATATTAATTTTGAGGGGACACAGTTCAGTCCATAGCAGCTACATAATATCGACCCTGACTTATCAGAGATGGCAAAATAAAAAACAAAAAGGAATAAGAGAAATGACGATAGCTGACATTATTGGTCTCACTTTGTGCGAACCCTCATTCTGTTTTAAAGATTGGGTTCCTTGGAAACCACCTCTGAGACAGAGCATTGCGTGTGAAGTGATAATTAGGAAGTGGTCTGAGATACAGTTTTAAGGAAGGGAGGCGGGCATGCCCGGGCACAGGAGAAGCTGACCCAAGTTGCAGTTGTAGCTGAGGCCTCAGATGTGACTAAAGGAAGTTCTGACAAAGGGACTGAGCCTTCGTATGCTGTCTAAGGCAGCCGTTACCCCAGGGTTGCCCCTGAATGGGGGTGTAACCTTGGCTGATGCAGTTTTCGGCAAGGAGGACAATTTGTACTGAGAGAAGCAGCCTACATTCCCCCCAAACTGGAGGGTAGATGTGGCAGCTGGAGAGGACCTGGGTGGAGTCCTGTGGTATCTATTATAATATATGAACTCACACAATCCATGTGTCATAAATATTATTATTATTATTCACATTCTTCCCTCTCTCACCAACAATTTTAGAGAGGAGGCACAGACAGGTTACGTAACTTGCTGAATGAATGCCTGTGCCGTAATTCAAACCTAAGGAGTGTGCTCTTAATTCCTACACTTTACTGCCTCCATGAACATAATCGTAGATACAGGATATATTTGGTAAGCATTGGGGATCGTGGTAAGAAAATGGGCCAGTAGTCTAGTGCATTTTGTTTAAATCCCAGTACAAATCACTCCAAAACATTATCATTGCGTATTTTTTGGTCTCTATATTGAAACCTGGTTCCACGCAGAGTACTTCGACACTTTCTCATCATGACTTTCGTTTAAGCTGCATTATTGTTCCCGATGAGCTAATGATGTCGCCATTCTCTTCTTTACTCATTTACAGACAGTCATTGTTGGATCTTACCTAGTTGCACATGGGTTCTTCAGCGTCTATGCAATGTGTATTGATACAATTTTCATCTGCTTCTGTAAGTTTTCATAATATGTGTTTTCCCCCTTCCGTGGATAACCAAAAGATGAGGTTAAGACCCATGTCCATAGCTGGCTTGTAGGTTTACTGTCACCTGGCTGTAACCACAAAACAGTGCTTATTTAGAAAGAGACATTGTTTAGTAGATGCTCTTGATACCTTCATGGCTGAGGGAATGGAGTGTGCAAAGCACAGGAGAGCCAGCTACTGAAATGAACCTCAGGCTTCATGGCATGGTGTTAGCATGAAATGATTGTTTTATTTCCTAATGTTTTAAAATGTATAATAGTGATTGGCTTCTGTGGTGCTTTATTAACAGAACTGAGGACGTGATGGGCTCTGGAAACTCTTTGAGGAGAGCCTTTAAAGATTCTGATAAAGCCAAGCTGGCAGTGGTTTCAAAGACACACAGGGACCAACCAGTTCCCATTAAGTAACGCAATGATGAATGGGTAGGATTCACAGAGGAGCATGTCCAGGAAATGTCTAGATCTATTCTGATGCTTAGAGCTTTCATCACTCACTCACGGTGCCTCTGTGTGACCTGTGTATGTTGCACACACAAATGGAAATGTTTTCTCTTAGTATCTCATCTTAAAAGTCCTGGGGAACCTAATGCCCCTCAGGAGCTTGATCTGGCTCTCACCTTCAACCTAGAGAAAGAAGGGTCAGCAGGTGATCGAACAACTCATTAGCCCTACAGCTATACCCTCTGAGAGAGTATTTCTCTGGCACATTGCTCTTAAGAGAAAGAGAGAAAACATTCTATAGCAGGGCATTACTGAATGATCGAGTCCACTTGAGTAAAACTGAGTTTGTTTTTTAGTATAACCCACAGTATCAACTTCACACTGGAGAAAAAAATAATAATAAAAATAAAAATAATAGCTACAGGGAGAAGTATTCAAGGCAAACCTAGAAAATGATTTGACCTTGTTTTCATTTTTTTCTTTCTGAACATTTAAAAATCTATTTTCAATAACGGGACAAAGAAGTCAAGGGAACTTTGTGTACTAGTAAGCTCTTCCTCTGGCCATAAATGGAGCTGGAATGCTTAATCTTTTCCTAGTGCCCAGTGGCTTGTTAGGAAAAGCCAGCCACGAAATGCCGCATGCACTCGTCTCACACCTGAGCTGGAACCAGAGCGTGGGAAGCAGGTAACTCCCGGGACGGAGCAGAGAGCTGCCCAGGGTCCCGAGCTCGCTTCTCTCAGTCCCCGGAGAGCTCACGGCGAGGGTCCCCGTCCTTGCAACTAAGAATGTTTCTCAAAATGTATCCCAGGAAATGTCTAGAACCTACTAGTTTCCATTCTTTGGAAGCTTTGGCAAATCTTGTGCATTTTAATTTTTACAGTGGATTTTAAATTTAAGCAGTAAGAAATGTTTTCCACCGTTCCATATTAATAATGGCCAACTTCTCGAAAACCAGGTGTAATTTCAGCTTTATTCAATGTATTGTGTGTTGAACACGAATAGTTTCCTTTCAGGGACTCTTACTTTTGATAATAAAGAACAAGGGAAACCAAACTGTATTTCTCTTCCCTGCCCAGCTGTTACTATGGGCAACATCTTGCTTTGGAAAGCATTCTTCTTAGATGATACTCAAGCCAAATTATGACTGTGTGGAGCTGTACCTTTTATTTTTTATATATCTTTTTGTACCTAATAACTTGACTGCCAGAAAAACTGGTGTTTTTAAAAATGCAAACCTTTTGCAAACACTTCATTTACAGAAACACAGCATCTTTTTAACACTACAGGGCACTGAGCAGTTTGGTCCCAGGGTGGGAAAAAATAATAGTTGTAGATGACTATTAATGTGATCCATATCGGGCTTCCTACCTGTACCTCAAGGATCATAATGATATCGACATATGATAAGTGATATGTGATATATAATAGAGCAATAAGACTAAGGAAGAAAGAACAAAAATGTTCGGTGTCTCTCATGTTTCCTCCTTAGCTTTTCATGTTGTGTGTGAGGAAAGTCACTGTGAGGTTTAATGTAAAAATGTACCAAACAAGCAATCCAGCCATTCCCAAAAGAGTGTGATGGAAAATAATTTCGATTTACTCCACAAACCACCATCATATGGTTTTGTATACTATTGCTTATCTGTGCTACAATCAATAAAGGCTATAAATACATCTTTTTGCATGTACTAGTCAAAACCTAGAATCAAATTGCACTTATGTATTTATTGATAGATATTATCCGCTGTGAATTGTATGTACCTGCCGTAAACTTAATTCTCAGCATCATTCTGGTACTCCCCCCCCACCAACTTCCCCAAAGTGAACACCCCATTATTTTCTTATAAGCCTAGGCAAAGCAGTGAGGTAAATTCATGTATTAAAGAAGTCAGAAAACACTGATGTTAGCTTTCGAATGTTTACCTGAGACAGACTGCCAGGATTTAGGACAGGATGCCTTGTGTAACTAGGCGTCAGGAGGCTGGGTCTGCACCTCATCCTGATCGCCTCAGAGCTTTTGACTTCAGGAGAATCATTTTGCATTCCTGGGTCTCGGTTTCTTCATGTGGAACATTAGGGTATAGGCTACCATTAAAAGTGGCTTTGAACTTTGAAATTCAATTATTGTTCTCCATCTATCACAGGAACAATACACTTTTTATTCAGCTTTATCTCAGAGGACGTGGCAGTTGAGCTTTCTGAAATAAACAGCCACAGAATTTAAAGATAACGTTTCTGAAAGGACCTGAAAGATTTCCTTTACCTTTAAACTATCAACATAAACCTCGTTGGGGGTGGAGGGGATGTAGAAAGTTTCCGTGCTTTCTGGCAGAGGTGGTCCAGCATCAGCAACTGGACTGCACTGCACACATTTGTCTTGTATTTAACTTTCTAACGCTGATTTCTCTGATTTTTCCCTGTTCCACTCTCCACTTTATAAAAATGCATATAATTGTTCTGCCGCTGCTCGCTGCTTTTGCCCGCTTTGGCTGCTACATATACAGGTGAAGATCTGGAAAGAAATGATGGATCTACAGAAAAACCCTACTTCCTAGCCCCCACCCTGCACGGAATCCTGAGCAAGAAGCAACTAGTTCCCCAGAAGCAGAAAGAGTAGAAAAGCTCCAAAGAGTGCCACTCATTTTTTTAAGTAGAAGTTTTGTAAATGAGGTCATTTGTAATTAGAAAATGATGCTTTTGAGTAATGAGAAATTTCTGCGCTGATTTCTAAAAAGCCAGAACCTGGTGCCGGCTGAGGTGCCAGGCGTCCGGTCACAGGGGCCTCTGTGCCCTAGGATGCTTTATGGACCGACTGTGCTCCCAGCTGAAGGGCACGTTGTAAATGTCAAACTTTTTTTTTGAAAGTCTGTAGCCGAACGTGTTTTAAAAACTTTTATAACTCGGTGTGCTGTTTCTCATTGCAGCACTTTAATAGCCTTTCTTTTGATACATGTATATTTGTAAAGGATATTCAGGCAATTTTTGAAAATGCTATAAGTGTATAATGGATTAGCCATAAAAAGATTGATTGGTAGTTAACCAGCATATGGTACTAAATTTGTAAATATGGTGCTATGGTCATATTTGTACTGTTCGAGCTAGTGGACAACTCTCTAAACTGTGATTAAACTTGTATTAATGGTTCCCTAGGAAGTATATTTCAGTAAGTGATTCAAGTTCATTACAAACATGTAGATGTTAATATTGTACAGGTTCCATAGAGAGCGTTACTAGGTAAAAATTACGGTGGAACCTTTGCAGCCCATTTTGTTTTAGTGATATTACATTTATAGTGAAGTTGAATCTGAGTTCTGGGATGTCATTTTCAATCATATGAACCCTTGGCCACCATAAAAGTACTCTAAACAAAATTGAAATGACACGTAACTTATGTCTTTTGTCTCATACTAAATAGAGACAAATTCCTTTTTTCTTATACCCACCATATAGAAAATTGGTGTGGATTTGTTTCAGAAGAGTGAATATATCTTTTCACGAGCATACCTGTTTTCCTAGATTAAAGAGATTGGCTTTGTTCTACAAAAGGTTTGATTTTAGCCCAACTTTCAGTGAGGAAAGAGAAGAGATAAGACACTTCGGATTTTCCCCTAAGGAAATATATGATTGGTCCTCCATAGGTACCTCATCAGGCACCTTTACAAGGGGACATACTGTGAGTTAGAAAATCTATCTCTGGAGGTTTAGGAGGAAAGTTTTTGCCACATTCCACCCTTGCTGGCCAGAGCAACAAGCCGGTTTCTGGCAGCCATGCCTGAGTCTTTTGCATGGCAGAGCAAAGCATGGATCAGACATTCATGTACTTTGCTTACCCATCCCCTGCGTGCAATGCATGATATGGCTCACAGTGTACAAAATGTACCCCAAAAGGAGCACTGAGTCAAGTTGCATCCTTTTGGCTTTTACACTAAGCTTGTATATAAGGACTATTTATGTATTGACAGAAAATAACACATTGATCTAACATTTTGATTGGAATGTGATCCATGTATCCAAGAAGAGAGCCAGAATTGTATCATTGTGTTGAGGATTAATATAAATTGCTAATTTATTTAATGATCTTAAAGTGTGGAAATCTAGATTTAGATTGGCTCAATGGCAGGAATAACAAGAAGCCAATGAATAGGGAGAATATTCACAATATTGGCTCTTGTAATGGCCATCATCTTGGCTTACTTTCTTGAGATTATTGCAGTCAAAAGTGTCAGTTGGCTTCACAGCTTGACAAGGGGCCTCCTCCACTCTCTCTCTCCTTGAAGTATAATTCAGAGAAGAGTGACGACCTGTCTTTCTAGATGGTTATTATTATTATTTTATTATTCATCAATACAGGGGTTCCAACATCTAACAAAGTATGTTACCTCTGTCTTAAGTGTTGAAAATTATAAGGAATAAGTCCACTTTAAGAGTAGTCGAAAAGTTCGTAACGATGAAACCAAACAATTTTTAATTTTTGTAGGTATCAGAATCACTGTGAAAACTTGTTATAAACATAGATGCTTGTGCCTCACCCTAGGAGATTCTGATATATCGTGCTTGGCTGTGGGCCATCTTGTGAATTGCTACAGAGTTTTCTAGTTGATTCTGATGTGCATAAAAGTTGGAAATTTCCTTGAATAACATATAAATCAACATGTGAGAAACTAGTTGCCTATTTTCTCCTTATATTCATGGCTGTTCTAAGAGTTAGAAATTTGAGAAAGACAAAGGAGATTAATTTGGAGACTTCTAACAAGCATAGCTTCTTCCATATTTTAGATTCCTGGTGCTAAATGGGGCCCATGTGTTATATGTTTAACATAATATCTACTGATTAGGCCAGAAAATTGTCTAGAGTAAAAGTTTTTTACTGAACTATATGGAGGTACATTCTAAGCTTGGCTGTAGTCTCAGGATATAACCCTTGGACCCAAAATCATAAGAAAAAGAGTGCCACTTGGTTCAATATTTCTAAATAATTTCTTAAAGGAAAGATTCTTTCCTTTAAGTTTTAACTATATTATGGGCTTATTTCTAGTTAAAAAAATATTCCCCATTAATAACTTCTTTGTGTAATTGAAATATATTAGAGTAAAAATGAGCATTGTTTTTGAGGAAAAAAATTTAGAAGTCATTTTTTTACAAAGAAAAACAAATAACTGAGAAAACAGCAATATCTCTCAAAATTTGCAATTTAAAGATTTGAAATATACTAAAATTCATCAATCTTATTTTTAAAAGCTACACTATCTGAATTGTTTATGGCCAAACAAAAGAAATTTTGAACAAAGATGGTCATTTAGAAAGCAAATTGAGAACATAGTACTTTTGAGGAATCTGAAGGTGAATTTAGATAATCCCGATGAATCTTTTAGTTTTTTTTGTAATTAAGTTTGCTGTCCAAAAGAAGGTAAACCTGATTTCCTCAGTCATGCAGCCGAGAGGCATATACTATGGGCAGAGCCTGACCTGGTACACGGAAGGAGATAATATCTTACTGACTTAATAACAAGGGCTGATTGTTTTCTCACAGTCGTGTTTACAGTAATGTGCGTGCCAAACTGCGGTTTCAAACCCGCGCGGGACGTTTGAGCGGCTGGCAAGCAGAAGGCAGCAGAGGGCGCTGCGACTTCTCGGACAGTGTTGTTTTGCTCGTTCATTTACTCTGTGCCGTTCTTCCTCCTAGTGGAAGATTTAGAAAGAAACGATGGTTCTGCAGAAAGACCCTATTACATGAATCAGTCTCTGATGAAGATTCTGGAGGTGAAAAGAACACATGCTAAGAAGGAGTAGAGGTGCAAGCCCTGGTCGTCCTCTGCTGTGCGCCGCTGGAAGCCTGGACGCCCCACCTTGGGGGCCCTTGTTGGCATGTTTCATACCAAAGCTTATACTAACACGTGAAGCCATCGGAAGTCGCAAGGGAATTGTTAATTACATGGAACATTTTTTATACTAAGACCTTTGGTTCTGTAATTCATTTTAAATAGAGTGGCTTGGATGTTTCAAAAATCTTAGTGAATAGGTTAATACTCTGTTAAATATTGATTGAAAAATGATCCATCGTTTAATCGAGAGCTCCTAATATATTTTTTAAATGACAACTAAAAGGCTTCTGCAGGGAAAACTGGTAAACAAAGCAAAATAGAAAATTTGAAAATTGTCCCCACCCCTGTCTGACAGTGAATCGGTAAAAGACCGCCCAGCTCCAGATTTTGCTCGAAGTATAGGATGTTTCCTATTAAACAAATTGCCAACCATGCAGCCTTTACTGCTTCGCCCTCTCTGACAAAGTGCCTTACTGGCTGTTTAATATGTTACCCGGCTTTTGTGGGCAAGTTTACAAACATGGTTTAAAAGAAACAACCTGCAGTGTTTAGTGATCCCACCGTCTCCTTGCATCTGTTTTCCTCTCAGCGCGCTGGCCGGACACCGCTCATTTCGATGTTTAAGTCCTCACTGTGTGGAGCGCGTGGCCCAGTGGACTCTCGCCAAGCAAAACATCTGAAAGGATGCTTGTTGGGTTTCTTTTTTTACTAAAAGTGAGAAGTTTCAAAATGTAATCTTTTCTATAGCAAGTCTTCGGAAATACAGTAAGTATGACACTACATTTTTCAGTGTTTGACAGGTTAGAAAGGGAAACTTTGAGGAATTATAAAGGAAAACTTGACCCCGAGGAAGGGTGCTCACAGATGTCATGTACTGAACCACTCCTTTATAAAAGACTTTGTTACCCTCAAGGAGTGTTCTATGTATGTTATTTTATATTTTAACTTTTGATATGAAATAATCAGTTTACTTACTATGTGTTAATTTTTATTGTGCTGATGTAAATAGGAACATAACTTCTAATTCAATTTTAAATAACTTTACTAGTACTCTTAACTTTGAAGAGTTCAGTGTGTTATAGAAAGAGTCCATAAAGCATTCATCCTAAAGGGATGTCAGTCTCACATGGTAATCTGTGACAGCTTTGAGAATCAACAGGAAGTTACTATCAGTGTATCTATTATCACATTTGTTTAAATGTGGCTTTTGATGTTTTTTTATGCCAAAAACAAACTCACACGACGAGCACATGACAGTCTGAGCTCTATAATTAATGGGTTTCTGCTGTGCAGAAATATTAGGACCATGTTGTCTAAGTATCTTTGATAACTGGAATATTTAATATTCAATGAAATTTGTTGTTACTTGTTGTTTTAAATCTATTTGTTTTTTCTTCTAATAAAGATTTAGATAAGAAAACACTGTCTGCCTTCTTATTTCTCCAAGCTAGAAAAGGAAAAAAAGCTTTGGTTTTCAAAACCCAGTATTCTATGACGGGATTGTCTTTGTATCAAATATCTAGGGTTATTTTTTTTAACATCTAGATTTATCTTTTTTTAAAAGTCCATTTTCTCTAGCTGTGCATTGATTGCCAAATCAAATAACTGAAAATGATAATTTATACAAAATAAATAAATCAAAGCTAAATGGGTAAGAGATGGATTTTTTAAAAATCCAAACAATGGCCTAAATTAGTTGGTCTTTGTTTTAATTTGCCACACATTTACTCAGTCCCTCATTTGGTTTTTTCAATATTCATAAGAAGCAAATCTCATCATTTTAAAGGCAGGAATAAATTTAAAGAACCTGAAAAGTGTGAACACTAATTAACAATAGTTTTCCAAGGCAAGATTAAATGTACCAGTCACTGGTTTATCTTAAGCTACAAAGTTTCTTAGGTTCAGATATACCTTAATAAATGTATGAGTATTTTTAAGTTGAATTATATATTAAATCTTCAAAATTAATTGATGTTTAAAATTTAATGAGGTTCTTAAAATAAAAGCATAAAACAATATTCATGCAGTTTTCAGTGCTGTTTTAAAATGTCCTAACTCTAATAAGATGTTAACTAACATAGCTAATGATTCCTTTCTTTTTAAAAATAGAAACATAGTTCGGTTTCCGGAAGAAATCCAAGTCCTACTTTAGATCTTAATAACTCAGTTTTAGATGATAAAGCACTGACTACACTTGTAAATAAGTTGTTGGAAATTGGACTCTGGTTGATTTGATTTAACTGTGTACCCAGAAAGCTTAAAAAGTTTGTGAATCAATAGTGAAATCACACTGTGGAAGGTTCTGTGGGACCATCAGGCGTAATGCAGTTTTTGTTTAAACTCATATTGGAAAACAGGCTCTGTGCAACAATTCCTTACTTTTCTTTTACTATATAGCTGACCAGCACTCATTCCTGTGCATGTTCTTTCACTTTTACAAGTAGTGCCTCAGGAAATTGCTCTTGAACTCTAACCAGGCATAGTAATTATCTCCAGTATTATCTGGTTCTGGACTGGGGAACATGCTTTATGAATCAGTCTTTGTTGGCATAAGATATGGGACAAAACTGAACTGAAGTCATTATTGCAGACCATGGTATATGAAATGGTGACATTTTTTTACAGCTTCTTGCAATTATCCTTAGATGTTTGCAAATGTTCATTTAAAAAAAAATACGGCTCTATGATTATAAGAATACAATTCAGTAAATCAGTAATAAAAAGAAATATCTTACCAATATAACAGGAGTGAATTACTTTTCCAAAGATACTTTCCATATACCGTGTTTTTAGCCTTGGGTTTAAGTAGGTATTGAATATTTCTCTCAGGACCTAGCTGAGTTTCTTCGGGTCCTCAGTGAATCTGTCATCACCCAGAAAACAAAGCCAATACCCATTAAAACAAATGTGAAACCATTCATTTAGGAAAACAGTACCACCATACGCAAGGCTTGGACATAGGGATGCGGTCACAGTCATGGGCCCCCTTAACATTGATCAGGACATATTGTACCTCCCTCTCCCCCATTTGCACTTTCCAATTGCTTGGAATGAAAAGTAGTGAAAACAGTACAGAAGCAGGCTGCATTTTCTCTAATGGTTTCTGTGCTGTGAAGCATGGGGACTGTGTGACAAAATCATTTCAAAGCAACCGATTCAATTTTACTATTTGAAGTCACTAGCTTTTTTAATTTTAATGCCTTGGATCTTTTTGCCAGTTCTTTATATGTACTGTATGATTGAGAATAGCTTAAACAAGTGGAGAAAGCAATCTTGAGCCCTTGCACTGCTGGCCCCAAAGCACCGGCATCTTCCTATCCTGGCCCTTTGTGGGTAAAGAGCACTGTGTGTTAACAAGGGTGGGAGATGCTTATCAAACAAAAAGAAGTTTCCAATTTGCATATCGATTTAAGTGAACCTGGACTTGATTCCTTGTGAGATTTACCTTGAAATCTCCAGGTTCTCCCGGCCGGATGGATGTATATTGCTGCATGTGTGTGTGCAGGACACAGAAAGGAGAAAATAAAGGTAAGATGTTGGGAAAGCAGTGGTGTCCAAGACGGAACAGAAAAAGCTAAGAATATATTTTTTAAAAACATCTAGCAGGGCCTAAGAGGTCAACATTACAGAAAGTAGGGTGCCTTCTGAAAGATAAATCTATAGAAAAAGAAACTCAATAGCAAATTAGAAGCCAGGAATTAAACAAAAGTATTTTTCAGTCTTCTGGTAAACAGCATTGAAGCAGAATATGTTACAATTAAATTAATCACATAGATGCATTTAGCCCAAACAAACAAAAAAGAATGATGCCCCAACATGATTTATGATTAAGGAATTTAAAAACATCTGCCTTTTTCTTCTCATTGCTGTTGCATGAAAGTTAAAACTTGGCTGTCATGATGAGCTGGTGTATTTCTCTTTTTCATCTCAACCCTAAGATGGATTGGGCTCCCTTTCGGACTCTCTCACTTCCTTCACTCCAACTCAGTCTCTTCCTTTATCTCACTTTCCCTTGCCTATAAGAAACTGATGCTCTAATGATGTCTTTATGGGGTTTTTTAATTTTTATTTTTATTGAATTTATTGGGGTGACACTGGTTAATAAAATTATATAGGTTTCAGGTATACAAGTCTGTTACACACCATCTGCGTATTGTATTGTGCATTCACCACCCCAAGTCAAGT